AATTGAAACGCATCACAAGCAACGAGCAGAACTTCATCACCGAACGCCGAGAACTCTACTCTCGCCTCGAGGTTCCTATCAGCGTCGGCAACACCACAATGTATCAGTCCAGTGCGGGTCTTTCCCAGCTCCTGCAGACTCTACTACAAGCCGACAAGAGCAAGAAACGCCGCTCCATCCTCGGCGACGGTGCCATCCCAAGTCCCGCTGGTCAGACCCCAAGCACTGCGGGCGGCCTAGGCCGAGCCGAGACCCCCGTCACACAGGCCGCAAACAAAAAGGGATCTATCACATCAAAGGAAACCGGTCAAATGGTACGCACGCTCACCACGGCGGAGGAAGCCAAGTACGGTGTCCAGCACCACGAGCGTGTCTCAGCAGGTGTGCAATTTCGCAGCGACCGTGCCCAGCGTCTCACGCAGGCCAAGTCCAACGTGCAAACCCAGAAACTGGCCAATGCTCTATCCGAGCTCGAGATCCCGGTACGCTTGTTCATGCCTACCGAACGCGTATGCAAGGATTTCGAGAAACTCATTCAGTCTGTCAATATGCTTCTCGACGCCCGCAAGGTGTCTGAAAAGGTTGAAAGTGAGATCCGTGTACTCGAAGCCGCGAAGGTGGAGCGCGAGCGCAAATCACGAGAAGCTGCAGGTATCTCGGGGCCAAGTGCTGACCCCGGCCATCCTCATGTGAAAAAGGAGACTGAAGATGGCGATACCGGCCTTCTAGGCCATTCCACCTCACAAAACACACACGGTAATGGTGGCGCGCACCAGTCTCGTACTCAAGAAGGGGATAGTAATCACAAGCGGTCTGCTAGTGTGCTCAGTGGCGCAAGCGACAAGAGCAACAAGCGGCAGAGACGATAGATGGTTTGCTCGTCTACTGGCAAAAACACTACACCCTTATTGTCTGGATGTGAGAAGTGTAAGATGTATTAGGGATCAATTACCCATATTTCTGTACGAATAATGACACCCGATTGGGAAGCATACTCATAATTAAACCAACTCCATCCCCGCGAGTAACAATAACAGCAAAATTGGCTCCAAAGTCCTCGATAACAGTATTTTTATGCTCATCCAACCAATACACCCTCGTCAATCTGCCTCTGCCTCCACCACCAGACTTGTTCGGCTCGCCCACCGGCTTCCATAAAAAGCCCCGGGCATTCCAATGCACTCCTGATAAGCATTCGCAAGATCCTCTGCCACATCGCTTCTAGTTGAGTTTGCTCGTCCCAGGTCATTTGACGGACGCTCTTGGTACTGTACTGGCGATTCCTGAGATGGTTCCCTTGGATGGAGGTTCGAACGTCTCTTGCTTTCCTTGTTTCTGGAAAACCTTAGTATCCAACGTCCACTGCGAGACCGGGAAGGTTCTCCGTTTAACCTGTCCGCACTCTTGTCATTCGACGGATCGAAATACACGGATGGCCGGCCGTTCGTCTGATCCATCGAGAAGCGGCGCTCGCCAAGTGATGAAGCATCTGGAGTAAAGACACTTCGCCCATGGGTTGAATCGTGGTACTTGTCTGACTGTGGCGGTTTGCGTGTGGACCGGCTGGCTTTTGCCCATCGACTTAAGAACGTTTCGTCGACGTCTTCGATATAAAAACTCTTTGCAGAACTCGGCGTTTTTGCAGAAGTTGGCGACTCGATGTGTTGTGCGCGGGTTGAGCTTTCACGGCGGGCTTCACCTGCACTCATTCCTTCACCAGCCAAATCCACTGCCAGCGGTGCGTGACTATTACCTCGAACTGAATGGCTTTTCATTTTGGCCCACATCGTTGGTGTCAAAACGGGTTCCTGCTTGGCATTGGTAGGACTTTTGTTCATAGGAGGCCATCGGCTGTCAGATCTCTTGCAATCACGGTCAGGAGTAGATGGCTGGGCTGATGATGCCAGATCGGCCCGATGCTCGGTCGATAATTTCAGCCCCTGTCCATTAAAGCCTCCAGACCTGGGTTCCGAATTGTCTCTGTACCAATTCCCGTTCGAAGGTGGACTGCTTTTCCCTCCAACTGTTGGCGAGTGATCCTCAGCATTGTCCACCAAGTTATACCCATAGCCCATTCGTCGGCCCCCGGTCATCCAGCCGGGGCTGACTTTGCGATGTGGACCGCCACCGTTGGCGCCATTGGAAATGCCATAAAGCTGGGGTGATTCCCAGTTTGCCGCATCAAGTTGCTCAACAAACTTGCTCTTCACAACCTCGGCAGCTTGTTCCAGTCCATTTTGGACCGAGCCAGTCCCAGCTACCATTTGTGCATGAATATTGGGTAAGCTGTCTATTGCATTTGCAGCATGGACTCTCAGCGATTGGACGGCAGATGCCCCCCGCGAAGGGTTACTGCTTGGGCGCGAATAGAAAGAGGATGCATCTCGTTGATGATGCATAGCTTCCTTATGGGGCTCGGAGCCCACGAATGTTGATGTTCCAGATCTTTCGTGGGGTTGAAAGTTCTCATGCGATGCCATTTGTGGCCCATACCTATTCGCACGGGGCAGTTCTGACATGGATGGATTAGCTGATGGCGGTTCGGACACCATGCTTGTCCCAGCGAGTCTGTGCGAAAGATCTAGATCACCAAGGTGCGGGACTCGGGCCTCAGAGTGTGTCCCTGGAGAACTTGTTGGGTGTCGTGTTTTGGCAACCATGATTCCCCGATCTTCCCTGGCCAGCGAGGCCGAAGATGCGGCACGATAATCATTGGGATTTGATCCCATGTATTGAGCCCAGTTAGCCACAAGGTTTTGAAGGTTCTCACCGCTGCTGCTGCCTACAAAGCCTTCTCGAGATCGGAGACGATCCTCATTTGCTGGAGCCAGTCCTTCTTGACTGGCAGGAAGACTTGGAAGAGATTTCGTGGACATGTTTTTCTCGCCCGACCGCTCGTTTTTGAATGAAGGCACGGACTGGCTACCTGTGCCTTCAGCTGCAAAGGTATGGTGAGCTGAACGCCCCCTCTGACTTCCTGGTGGCGTAGGTATATAATGCATCCCAAAGGGAGTCCCCGGGGTATCGGATTGATTATGTGTTTTAGCCCCCAACCACATCTCCAAATCATTTCGCTCACGACTACGCTCTATTAGATCATGCAACCCCATTCTGCGAAACGCCGGGCTTCTGGGTGACGCTCTCATACGGTCGGCATGCTGAGGACTCCCAATGCACTGGGCATCGCTGTCGTACCCTCGTGCGCTCATCAGACTGCTTCCCATGTCCCCAATCATTGATAATCCTGTAGTTGGTTTCAACGCATTTGGCTTTAGCTTAATAGAGAAGGGGAAGATGGGGCGGTGTTCGGCGGAATGTCTGGATTCTCTTGAGAATCGATGGCGAAGCCGACGTGAAAGACTTGCAGATCTCCGTCTCGGATGTCGAACAGGAGTTGCAGTTGATCCTGGTGAAGGGTCTACGGTATCTCAAGTTAGCCAGGGGAAAATCTTGGAATCGAGAATTGGGCTGAGGCTTGCCTTGGCCTTGCTCCCTGGGACCATCCACATTCTCCATTTGACCATCTTGATATGAATGTGCGAAGTTGTTCGGGGAGTCAGCTCGATGCCTCCTTCGGAGACGAGGGCATATAAGGAAAAACATTTGGACATGGGATGTTTACAAGATGAACTTCTACGTGTTTGTAAATATCTTCTTAAGGGCATTTTGGGGAAGGGACTATCAGCAGATGTTTTGCCTTCCATTTCAAGAATACCACGAGGTCACTCTTGCTGTTTATTGATTAGTTGGATCCATGGATCAGTTTAACCTAAACATTTTGGCTTCGAGCTTACCTCGTAACTTTAAACAGATAGAGACAGAAAAGCAGTAACTAACATAAATATCCAGGCCTTGAATACTAGGTAAAACCAGCCATGACAAATGCATGTAGGCACTCAGACACCTCTTAGCCACTCAGCTCTTTGATAGCTGCGCTATGATCTAAAAGTGTGAAAGTGCATGTGGGTAACATGAGAAATAAGACATCTACCCATATTGAAGAATTGGCCCCCAATGTGTGTGGATTTAGAATACAATAGAGTTTTCATGATCTTCATCTATGCCCCAGTGGATTTCATATATGTGAATATCATTGCCCGATACATATTAGCGTCAAGAGTGGGCCAGGCACGGGCCATACCCACCCGATTTTATACATAGGCCAATGACAAGACTGCAGTGAAAGCCTTGCGCTACAGAGTAAACGACAAGAGTGTCAATGTGTCTATTGTCATAGATGGCCAGTCAATCAGCAATTTTGGTCAAATATGAGAGTATAAACAATCAAATACGCGATAATATGGTATTTGTCTTGTCTTTCCAGTATTTGAATTAGTCGCAGCCAATATAGTATAGCGACTACATTTCAGTTCTAAATACAACCGGTCACTGCTTCAATGTTACAACGAAGTCAAGCCGACAAGTTCGAGCTGTTGGCCAAATGCTGTGAAGTTCCACAGTACAGCATATGCCGCAGTGTAGCAGTGTAGTAGGGTTGTAAGCGAAATGACCAAACAGATCATGACCGACAGACCGATTCTCCGAGAGAAACACTCTCACTGTCCAACAAACTAATAGATCATTTTTCAATAATGCTAGATAGTGTTTCTTGCAGGAAATCAGTAAGCTAGGCACACCCGGGCCCTCCCAGAGCTTGAGTCAATTAAGCATCTATCCATGTATAATACAATAGATTCTCTCTAATAAAAACTTGCTTTGCATCATTATAAAGGCTACTATTCCTACACACTATGTAGAAGTGGATGTCTTACATAGGTGCCGCATATAACCTTTGATGAACTGTATGGCTAGGTAACTAGTCGGGATTGATAATGGAAGATTCCTACTAACTTCTTAACCAAGTTTGCTCTCCTAATCTGTCTCATATAGTGCAGCGGCCTATATGGAAGCTATCAATACTCGTCAAGATTTCTCCGCAGATACGTATCCTCAAAGGTTTCTTCAAAACACCCTCGCATTCACAGATCCACCATGATACTTCATAGATTGATTGGGGTGTAAGAAGAGTCCTCCAATTGGGACTTGATATACAACTCCACGGCGGTTTGAGCATCACAAAACAGAGCAATTGCCTGTATTTGAGATTAGTCAGTCTCGGCTGCGCAAGAAACACAAGCTTGAAGTGTATTCTTACCTGCGCTGTCTTGAACTGCACTTTTCCGCCCTCACTCGCAGCAAAATGAACCCTGTATTCACTTTCAGAATCGATACATGAAGGATAGCTGACAGGCTCTGCGATCTTAGCGGTTTTCCCAAACAAGGACATACTCTCCACCTCCTGTTGGGACCTCTCTATAGCTGCCAAATTCTTGAGAACTTTTGGTGTTATCGTCAGCGCGTCGATTCCGGCGAGCATAATCAGCTCATCGAGGTTCAATGTTACACAGGATTTCAGCCGCGTGGGCATAGAATTCTGGTGATAGAACTGTTGTGCTTGCACACATATACCAAGAATGGGATTGTTGTCTTTGTATCTGCCAAAGGATCAGAAATACTTCCATATTCGGCGATATCTCTACTCACCCCTTGTAAGTTTCGGTTTTCAGCTCATGCACAAATGGTGAAATTGATATACAACCGGCTTCGCCTGCAAGGACTGCCTGCTCTATCGAGAAGAGAGACGTAGCCAAAGACTTTATTCTACTTCGCTTGAGCTGACGCGCAGCTTGCATTCCTTCCCATGTGGCCGGAACTTTGGTAACCGGGCGAGACGTGTCAAAGTTGGGGTCAATGATTTGGCAGATGAGATGGAATCCTGTATAACGTATACCAACATCTCTCTTTTCGACGTAGAACATGAAGTGTATTATCTTACGCTGAGCATTTGCAACTATTGCTTCAGTGTTGTAGGAGTAGCTCGGATTGACCATAACATGGACATCTCCATGAACAGTTTGGATCATTTCGAGGGCGAGTTCGATACCCTAGACCGGTCAACTTTAGATACTCGCATCACTAAATGCTTTGAGCACCTACCACCACCTCCACAGCAAGCTCCTCAAGGGTGATTGTGGCAAACTGTGGGTGGATCGTGGTCGCCAAAGCTAGTGATCTCTTTAACAGAGCGCTTCTGTTGGGCTTGACAATCTCCGCTTGGATCTCAAACTGTTTTCGTAATTAGCCAACACCAACAAAAAGCTATCAGATACTATATCCTTATACCTGATTTCCCCTTGCATCTTGAAATGGTCCGATCTCTTTGGAAGCTAGCACGAAACTTTCATTAGTCTTCTGTCTATCGCAAGTCACAAGATTCTCAACCTTCAGCATCGTATGTGTCAATATCTACCTGTGTTCGTAAGCGAAGGTATTCCAATAGGTTTACAGTCGCCATGTTGTATGTCGTATTGAATGGTAAGTATAACAAACTTGCGTGTGAAATATATTACTACTGCTGACTTCTTCACTGATTAGGAAAAAGAAAAGAACTGATTTATAGTCCAGTTGACGACCCGACCCCGTACTTAAATAGTTTCAACGCAAGAATCAGTTGATGTCCATTAGGATCTTTGTTTCACCAGTGGCAAAGTTGAATTGACCTTCTACCTGCAGCTATTGGAGTCAGCCAAACATATTCTGTCGCACTGTCTCTGCGTATGCGATTTAACATGCAGCGTCGGATTTATTGGAAACTAGACCATGAATATCGCAAGGAATTTCTACAAAACTCACGCATAGTGTGTGTGGAGTGTGCGGCCTTTTGACAGTTTGCTATTATCTATTTTCCGCCAGTGTATGTATCTTAGATAGAGCAGGCAATTGTGACAGGAGGGCCTCGGAACTCCAGGATCATGTACTGTAGTACTAACATCACAAGTTTTCTTGCTGGTCTTGACCAGACAATAGGCTGTAAGATAAAGCTTGTATATACTCAATGCAGGAGGCTTGCACATTGTAATAGATAGCTGCATGAGGGGTGGAGTAGTGCGTTTCAAAATCAATGAGATTGAGAATGAGGCTAGCATATCAGTCCCGAAGCTCAAAATATACACACTCGCAGATTTTAGCTCCCTTGATTGTCCTGACAGTCTCGAGGTTGAAACTCTTAAAAATGCACCTGATGATGAAGTATGCATAAAGGTGACTATGATAACTTCCAGTGGAAGTCAACAAGAAATATGCCGTCTCCGACCGCCAAATCCTGTCTGAGGTGGGAAGTCCACGTGACACCCTTCTACCCTAGGTAAGTCGATAAAAATAGCAAGTGGATCAATTACAAGTCGGATCTTGCCGACTCGGCAGCAGATCGTTTTGATGACCAGTGGAGCTATACTCCACTTAGGAATCCTTTACTCCGCTGGAATGACTGCTTATCTTGGGCAATACGCTTGTAGTCTCATCACATTTAAAAAGAACTTGACTCTTCCGAGAGGCGGATATCCGAAACTTCTTTACTGCATGTACCCGAAGAAGACGCACCCTAGGCGCTACTAGATCCAGACTAATGTACGCGAGGCTTATTCTTCGGCTGGTATCAAGGATCTTGGGAACATGATATCATGTCTACTAGCATTATTATCCACAATAAATGACCTTTGATTATACAGTTATACTTGCAGTTCCCTAGGTAGTCAAATTAGAGATATCTTTCCAAGGCATTGAAAATGAGCAGAATACGAGGCGGTCAGGTACCTGAAGACCGCTTCGCTGCTTCCAATATGGGTTGGGGGTAGCACGTGGTACATCTGTTTCCCCACGCTCGTCTGGCTTCCTTTTGATTCCTTCATAAACAACGCGTCGAGGTGCACAGAACCCATCACGTTTCGGTCCACTAGGTTAGTTATTACTCTCATCTTTATGCATAGCGATCAATATGGCTGACCAGAATGCAGCTAAGATGCGAATTCACCTTGTCCTAGCAGGGATCTTCCTGCTGCTGGCTACTGCCATAGCCAGTGTTCCCACAATCGAGATCAAAGCAAGTAGTTCTACGCCGTTCGGGGAATTCAAACTAACATGTGAATTCCCAGGGATCCAAGTTCTTTTACGCAAACAATGGATCGCAGTTGTGAGTTCATAGACTACTGTAAACCGTTTCAAGTGCTAATCCTGCGACCAGTTACATCCGTGGCATTGCTTATCAGGGTATGTATCCTAGAGTATACAGCTCTTCTCATGACCCTTTACTGACCACTATCTAGAGGACTACAATGCTGGAGGAGCCGAAGGTACCGGTCAATCAAATGGTATTCATTACACCGATCCTCTGGCGGATGGCTCGCACTGCGATCGTGATATCCCCTATCTCCAGCAAATTCGCACCAACGTCATTCGGACCTACGCTGTCGACCCGACCAAAGGTCACGATACTTGTATGAAGAAATTGGCCGATGCAGGAATTTATGTTATTGCCGATCTCTCATCTCCTCAGTTGTCAATTGTCTCCAACTCTCCGTCTTGGACTGTTGAACTGTACGGCCGTTATACTGCTGTGGTTGATGCCTTCCACCAGTATGATAACGTGATTGGGTTCTTTGCTGGCAACGAGGTTGTGGACAAAGTGAACCAGACAATGGGCTCAGCATTTGTCAAAGCAGCAGTTCGCGACATGAAAGCCTACGTCAAAGCTAAGGGATACAGGAAGTCCTTGGGGTTTGGTTACGCAACTACCGATCAACCAGATTTTCGTAACGAGCTGACAGACTATCTCGGCTGTGGAGATCAGTCTACTTCCATTGATTTCTTCGGTTACAATATCTACGAGTGGTGTGGAGACAACACGTTCCAGGGCTCCGGTTACAAAAACCTCACCGAGCAGTACAAGGATTATCCTATCCCGATCTTCTTCTCTGAATACGGATGCAACACGGTCAGGCCTCGCAAGTTTGGCGATGTCTCTGCAATTTTCGGACCGGATATGGAAAATGTCTGGAGCGGTGGCATTGTCTACATGTACTTCCAAAGTACCAACAACTACGGGCTCGTTTCTGTCGACGGGGACTCAGTCAGTACTCAGCAAGACTTCGGCTATTACTCGAAGGCGATTCAAACTGCCACTCCCAGTGGTGTCAACAGCGGCAGCTACACCCCCACAAACTCTCCACGCGCTTGTCCCACCGTCGATGAAAAGTGGTTGGCAAAGTCCAGTCCCCTACCACCTTCTCCGAACAAAGAACTGTGTTCCTGTATGGTGGACGGTCTGTCGTGTGTAGCCAGTCAATCTCTGCATACCGACCAATATGGCGATCTGTTTGGTACAGTCTGCGGAAGCGACAAGAGTGCCTGCGATGGAATTTCCCAAAACGCAACCACGGGGCAGTACGGTGCCTATGGTATCTGCGCCAACAAGGATAAACTCTCTTATGTCTTTGATCGCTACTACCAGGGCCAAAAGAAGGACCATTCGGCGTGCGATTTCAAAGGGGCAGCGTCCATCCAGTCTGCCAGGAATCCATCTGGAAGTTGCAAGTCACTTCTCAACCAGGCTGGCATAGCTGGCACGGGCCAAGTCCCGGCGATAACAGCGTCCCCATCTAAGGGAGAATGTGCGTGTCAGAAGGGACCACTTGGTGACGAATACCCCACATGGATTTCATGGTTAGTCTTGATTGTGGTCTTCTTGGCTAGCCTGTACTTGAGCAACTACTTTCCCCAGTATTACCTACGTCATTATCCACGTCACCAGCAGCAATAAACCACCCGTGTGGGATGAGCATTCTTACTGGGAAGAGAAATCGGGTTTTCTTCCGGGGGAATGTTATGGTGGTGAATTAGCAGATGGAATTCATCTTAACTAGCATCCATTAGTCGCAGGTAGATTAGCTTTTTGAATACTACAATGTCTGCCCCAATTGCTTCATCGCCGCAAGAAAAGGTATGATCTCGGGAAGTAGGTCCTCGTCTCTAGTAGTCGCTCTTAGCTAGTATCATATGTTAGACCATCATATGGATGCTCGATTGTTTGCTAGACACCGGGGTATAAATACCCTCTTTTCCTATAGATTGAATACCAGGGGTTTCTTTCTTCTTCCACTATCCCTAGCCACAACCTCATATCCCTCGGAAAATCAAAACCGTCCTACGGAGAATCTCGTGGCGGTGGACGCCCTCTGGGTCGGTATACTTATCGACTACAGACAGTACCCAGAGTCCCGCTCGCTTGCAACTCCCATGATTGAAACCAGATTGATATTCTAATCTTTCCAGATACCTTATGTAGGCGTAGAAGTAGTGACAGTAACAGTTTTCCGAGCATAGAGCGAAAGGTAGATATTGCCGCGATATTCAACGTATTCTTTGGGCACTCTGTATTGGTATTTAAGTCCGTTGGATAAATGTTGAATCTCCATCCATATTTATCATGAAGTTTCGAATTTAGTCCTCAACGAAGAATGTGTCCAATCTCGTCATAACATCTACTGGTCTCCATCTGTATTTCCAAATACATAGACATGTATCTTTTTAGGGGGAATTCTTTTTCAGATATATTGCAAGTCCTCATTTTGAGGAACTCTCTAGATAGACTCATTACCTGTCGGTTGAAACCCGTTAAATTGCCGAGCGAGATATAGATATGCTTAGTCAGCAGTCCCGCGCCCCACGTGGGGCGTTAGACCGGGGACAATTTTTTTTACAAAAAATTACAGATCTCACTCACTCCCACATCCCATCGCATTCTCCTCTTTAAACCCTTTCTCTCGTTTCAGACGTCAAGTCAAATACCGCAAAAATGGGCAACGTAAGGAATCCTGCAGCCATACAAATGACAAACTATTCTGAGTTCTTTGTTTTGGCCCAACGTTCAGTGAACTAACAATATTCAATAGGGAGCCAAGGCCAACATGAAGCGCGAGCGCAACGCGAAGGACACCAAGTCCGCCAAGTCGCAGACCAAGAGTGTAAGTCAACGTCGTCTTCAACGACCATATTGTCCCTCCAGTCGCTGACCCACATTCTTATCTAGAACGAGAAAGCCATGAGCATCCAGTGCCAGATCTGCAGACAGACTTTCCTCCAGACCACCAAGGCCCCTGCGTACGTGCTTCCACACCGCCATCCCTTGCGAATCGCTTCGTTCCTGTCGATGTATATGGGGTTATTTGCTAACTTACGCGACTATAGTCTCCTCGAGCACGCCTCCAACAAGCACAGCAAGGGTCTTGCTGAGTGCTTCCCCGGTGTCAGCGCATAGACAACCACTCCGGCGGAACCGAAACCAATTTTCTTTACGATATCACGGGTTAGCATGGCTTTAGGAGTTTTGAAAGCGAAAATATCTAGGAACTGGACTTGGGAGAGCGGACACTCTACGTAGGTACTTACGTAGGTGTAGGGGAGGAGATCTTCATGGGGTGTACATGCATGCAGTGGTGGTGTGAAGGCCCCTTATGATTAGAGACACAGTCGACCATACATATGATCTTTCTCTCCCTCTATGCTCATTGATTTTGCCCTACAGTAGGGGGTGAAACCTCTCCCGATCAAGATCTACACTTGCGATTGGATATGGGCTATGGTCGTAGGCCTGCGGGGCGAAGACAAGCTGTACTATTTGGTATACTATAACAGATTATGCTAGAAATCAATCACATATATATAGAGTTTAGTGCTGGACCCGTCGCAAAAGTGGGATCCAAGAGGAAGACAAAGAATGGACAAATAACGACCCTATCTATATCAATCGATCTCACTAATGGGGAAACGATGCCTCCAATTAGTACTCCTGCACATTCTGCATACCTATATACCATCATCTTCCTGCTCAAGCTCACTCTCCGTGATATATGCATCCCACGCCTCACAAGTAGAATTCAAAGTATCATAATCAATCAGTTGCCGCGCCTCCGCATACCTCTCCAGGAACTGAATAGCGAACCCCTCCTCAGTGTGCCATCCAATATGGCAATGCATTAGCCAAGCTCCGGGATTATCAGTCTTGAACGCAACAACAAGGTACCCAGAGCCCGGGAGCATGGCCACATCCCGGCGGGGCGGGTTCGTCAAGCTCGTGATATCGGAGGAGCTGTACGTTCCCGTTCCCTGCGCGAGAATGAAGAAGTCATGGCCGTGTAAGTGAATAGGATGCGGGACAGCCAGGGTGGTTTCGATGACAACGTAGGACCACTCGTCTGCAGTCGGAAGGACGACTACGCCGCTTTCGTTGGTGAATGTTGTGTCGTTATTCCAGATTTGCATTAGTGTCGGGTTGTCCCAGTATACTTGCATCGATGTTCCGTTCATCTTCCAGCGGAAGAGATTCTCGGAATTCGTGCCTAGTGTGACTGGCTCGCTGGAGTTGTAGTATGGTTCCGATGCGCTCTGGACAAGGTACGGGACGAGATCAGAGAGGTCCATGTCATCACAACTGTCGGTGTACGAGTATGCGGTTGTGGTGGGCGTGGATGGGGTGCTACCATAATAAACAATTCCTTTGATGTTGTCTGTGCTATCGTTGTCGGAACAGGCGGATTGTGGGATTGCGCGCATCCAGAAACTGTCGCTTCCTGTGGATTGATCTGCGTTTACCACAATGTCATACCGCTGGCCTGGATGAGAATAATGGTTAGTAAGGTTATATATAGCTGGTAGATCAATGTTCTCTTACCCATCCCGATGCTCAAGACAGTCGTGTTGAATGGCTCGATGGGCACCAAGTCCATAGCCATCACCGTCAGGGTATGATTGTCAATTGAGAACTTGAAGTGGGTGTCTACCGCAGCATTCACAAGACGGAAGCGATAAGAAGTGTCTGCAGTGAATGATGTGTTGAACCGATAGCCCGTTTGGCTCGTTGAATTGTCATCCCCGTACACATTGGTGCCGTTGATGAGGCCATTGTCCAATGTGGGCGGACCATCGGCTTGGGCAGTGGCATAGAGTTCGTCGACAGTTTGGTGACTCCAATCATTGAGGAACAAAACTCCTTTGTCCACATCATAGTTCTCGGTGGCAGGCCCGTTGATCACGATTCCACCGAAGACACCTTCATAGGCCTGCAACCCAATGTGAGAATGGTACCATGATGTGCCGTATTGTGTGGCTTTCCACTTATAGGTTGTTGTATATCCTGGAGCTGTAGGACATTGGGTGATGGATACAACACCATCGTTCGGATTGGTATAGTTCTGGCGGATCCCGTGAAAATGGATGCTAGACCCGTTCTTTGAGGTCAGGCTGTTGGTGACATGAACGATAACATCATCACCCCAGTCGGCCTCGAGAGTAGGACCTGGGATTGATCCATTGATAGCCATTGCTGCACGAGAGTAGCCATCGGGTGCAACTGTGACATCCTCGATGTTGAGGTAATACTCTCTGGTAATGCCCGTGGTTGGGACGGCATCGTAGTAGTTGGTGCTCACGTCCAAGTTGCACCAGCTCTGTCTATCAGTAGCAGTATTTCCGGAGCAAGCATCCCGTTTCAGCCTGGGGTGTTTGTTGTGATGGATTGAGGTTGCCGATGTTACTCCAACGATGGCCAAAAGAGCGATCCAAATCTTCATGGTCGGTCACGAATGCAAGCGATTTGAACTTTGGTGGGCAATCACGGAGTAAATGCGCGAAAGAATGGAATTAGAAATGAAAAGTAGAATAATAACGAACGTAACGTTGTTGGAAAGGAATGTCAGATGATTTGTAGATAAGTATTATTGTTACAAACCAGCTTTTATCAGCATATATTATCATCCGGTGCTCTGCCATTCTGATATCCTCGAAGGAAAGTCGGAATATGTCTCGAGTATGAACAAGATCAGCAAGCTAGTGGGATAGATGACGTCTGATTGGACAGACTCAACATATAAGGGTGCGTAAGCTCAGATCTAGAGGTGCCGATCCGTGCCGACCCAGAGTTGCCTACTTGCGAGGCTAGCTTTAAGCTAACTTGCACCGCAAGAGGGTCGCCAGGAATAGAGATCTTATAGACTTATGGACCTAGAGGTGGGTCTGCGCGATTGGAGATCAGGCCCTAATGCAGGCCCCGTCACGAACTGCGCGGCATGAAGATCTAAGACAGAGCAAAGATATAGGAAATTCTTCAAAGGCCGTCCTAATAGCTCAATTGAAAGAAACGGCCATGGAAGTCATAGACTATAACCGTACTTTGGGAGCCCTCACCCAGATGGGAATTAACGGACTACCTCCAACACGACCGAAATGTTATTGCACCATGAAACTGCGACATAAACTGTAATGCGGTGCTAACCAAAGTCCCCGCGCGTTTTTCCAAGCTAACTGACGTCCTTCAGGTACCAACCAGGAACACCGCGGCACCGACGTCAGCCAACGCGCGGCCGGACTCGTCCACAAACCCACTTTTAACAACGATCTAGAGACTATGTTTTGCGATGAGAGGTAAAATTTCCTATATGGCGATTGGATACTACATTTTGACTAAGCGGAGCTCTGCCGCCGAGGCCGTAACATGCAAAAGGATTATGTATTTAGAGAACGACAGCAAAATAGTCAGGTTCTTGTAAAATTTCGTGCAAAATCAAACATTTTTCTCATTATATGCTATCCATCATGTTCCGTTTCTCAGTCTTCTGCCTGGTGCTGTGTCTAGGAGCGTCCGCGTACGCTGCTAGAATCGTCTCGCGGAGCGATCCCAGTGCGGGTGAGCAGTTCGGACTTTATGCATATGGAGAGTCAGTTGGTGGTCTCTCTTTGTTCTACGGGGATGGTAAGCTTTTATATTTAGAGACCACTATCTAGAACCATGCTGATTACGTCCTAGGCAAGGCTCTAATTGGCGACCCAGCCAACTCAACTGCTTCGAATACCTCAGGTATATACTGTGAGTCAAACCGCTCATCGTTAAGCCATGATTATATGTTGATATGAGAGATACCAGTCAAACGTGCATCTGAATCATCGGATAGCACTTGGATTGCCAACCCGAATGGAACCGCCAATGCGAACGCCAGCTGGTCCGATGAGATGCTTTACATCCCCAGTTCGTCATCTTCGGACCATGAAATGGGCTTCACGTCTACGAATATGTCAGAACGGACTACTACGGGCTTTATATTCTATGGAAATTGGATGATGGTAGAATCGGATTCTGGCGACATCTCTTCCAGCTTCTACGTTCAAGAGAACTCGCAGGGTGAAGGGGTTTACTCCTTGCTGTGGAATGTGTCTGATGACACAATTGCTATTCCAGTGTCTTTGCGTTCCGTGAAACCTTCTAATGCTTGAGATATTAGTCGAAAGGAGAACGGGGGATATCTGTTGTTAAATAGACGCCTCTTTTCCAAAGAGCAGCTGTGGGTCAATAATGTTGCCAGTACAGTACATGATGAAATGGATCGCATCAACTGCGACTTTCTTTGTGAATCAGCCAACAATTCAAATTATCATTATCATTGAGATTGGCATTGCTGCGGCGTAGATTCCCATCGGCACAAGACGTGCGTAGCGTGAGTCTATAGAACTTATTGCGTTGACTAGGACAACGCCGGTGATGTTAGATTAAGGGGGGGCTTGTATCTGGAAATTCACGTGCTCAAGTGATTGATGACAGGTCTCTATCCCGGGACGCGATGCTAGAAGATCTACAACAGCCCGCTCGACCACTTTCGAGCGACTCAGATATACGTTCGAAAATCTACGAGCAGTACCTCTACCATGGGGGCGGTCGGTATGAGAATCAACTACTAGATATGCTACCCCGCTCAGAGTGCTCGGTCTTCACGCATGCAGATATTGCGCCGCGCAATATCATGGTGGATGAGCAGAACAATGTCACCGGTGTTCTCGACTGGGAATCAGCGGGGTGGTATCCCGAGTACTGGGAGTACGCGCAGATTATGCGCCCGGCGTTTTGGGGCAACTGGTCCATTTGGATGGATAAGACGGCGCCGCAGCGGTGGGATCCTGAGGAAATTAATGCTGCCAGAAAATTCCTGTTTTGAGTCCAGAAAGGGATACCTTTCAGAAGGAATCAGTTCTATTTGCTCGAACCCAGTGAGGACTTGTGGTTTCAGGCTCGGGTTGAATGGCATTATTCCTCGCAACATGGAATCGACAATATATTGCACAACAGTGCAGTCAGTTCTTCATTGTGTATGTGGCACGTCTGGTCTCGAAGGATTCCTAGCGTGCGGGGCCTCCTTCGCTTCAGACTACTCCTACAATATATTTGCCTAATATGAAACGTGGCGTCGAAGAATTGCTTCAAGGCTGACATGAGAACAACCTCACATTTCTCACATTCTCATGAAATTATCAATAATCTTTCTGATGGTTTTGCTATCCACACGATCACAGGCGACAGACTCGGATACTAATTTGATGGACTTGGGACCTACATCCCACTTAATACAAGGTCGATGTTTGATGGAGAAAGGAATAACGAATTGAATTCCAAAATATTAATATTCCAATTTGCAAAACGGGTACTAAACTGCAGAGAATCGACAAATAACTCCTTTGATCCGAGGTATATAAGTAACATCCATATGTATACCCATGTGGTCCTTCGTATCAACCAATCAAGCATCAAGATTGCAATGTGATCTGCGGATTAATTAACTCTTCACTTGCCCAGGCATGAAACCCGATAATTGGCCGAACTCAGGAAATTGAACACGTAGATCTTGTTTATCTACGGTATTTCAGTCAGAAGTATGTTTAGCACCTCGGGTTCGGTCCCGTGTTGACCACGGCAGACTACCTAGACTCCAAACACATATAGGAGGCGAGGAAACCGTCTTACTTCTTCAAGACTCCCCAAGCACTACATCCTTATCAGAATGAGGTACTTTCTGCAACTCCTGGGGCTCGCTTCCGCTCTTGGCGTTGGGAGTGCGTTGAATCCAGCTGTCTCGGCCAGCACTTCCATCGCTACCTCGCTGGGGTCGTTGAATTTAACAGCCGGTGCTGCTTGTGCTTGCAACAAGCTTTCTACCTCTTACCCAAAGCAATACATTTCTCCCAGCTCACCAAACTACAATGAGCAGGCAACAAACTACTGGGATGTTCGAGCTGACTTGAGTCCAGCTTGCATCTTTATGCCCAAGACAGCCGACCAAGTTGCTGCTGCTGTTATGATTTTTGTTCAATGTGATTCTCAATTTGCTGTCCGTGGCGGTGGACATATGAATGCAAGCAATACCCTGCTACGTTTAGACAAGTGGATCTAATACCGACTGTATAGATCCCGGGTTCAAATAACATTGATGGCGGCGTCCTTTTGGCGTTCAATGAAATGACCAGGTACAAAGTCAACAAGGAAACAATCGAGGTGCAACCGGGAATGACCTGGTATGATGTGTATTCAGCGCTTGACCCGTATGGGCGGACGGCCATCGGTGGTCGTCTGAAGACTATTGGAGTACCAGGTCTCACTCTCATCGGCGGAGTATCATATTATATCAACAAATACGGCTTCGCTATGGATAACGTCGCTAGTTACGATATCGTACTTGGAAATGGCACTCTGACAACTGCGAGTGCTACTGCAAACCCGGACCTGTTCTGGGCATTGAAGGGAGGTGCTAGCAACTATGGAATCGTGACGAAATTCACTTTGAGGACATATTCTATGCCGCGAATCAGCACCACTATCCAAATCTTTAATGAGACCTCCACGTCTGCTTTTAGTCAGGCGATCTGCGACTGGGCAGTGGGTAATAGCGATAGCCCTGTCGCTGCTGGCTCCGTGATCACGATGACTTACAATACGACTACCAAGCAGATGTCTTCCAGTCTCCTCGGTGTCCAAGCTGGAACGAGTAATCCGCCCTCTGAGTTCAGGAACTTTACCGCCATTCCTGGAGTTTCCAAGACTCATAACGTTACGACCGGGAAGCAATGGGCATCTAATCTGGACACCCCTAAGCAGATGTTCCGGTGAGTCGTTCCGAATATGTGACAAATTTGAAGACCTGTGCGTCTGATAAAAGCCACATTTATTGACAGAGTCATGTTTTCACACCACTCGATGACACCCGACGCTGATGTCTTTACAACCATGATCGAGACATGGAAAAATGCTGTCAAAGATATTGCCGATGTCAAAGGTCTCAACCCAACCTTCGTGGCAAACATATCCCCAGCGAGCGCCGCGAGAGTTGCAAAGACCAACGGTATTGGTAATGTGTGGGGTCTTGAAGATGAAGCTTTGATATGTAGGACATCCCATATGCTTTTCTTTCCAAGACTGTATCTTGAACAGATAATGCTAAACATTATTTCATAGGGTGGCAACTCAGCACCAGTTGGGAACTGCCTCAGGATGACCTCCGAGTGCAAACTTGGGCTCGTCATTTGACTGAACACCTTCACGAACTGAACAAACAGAATGGCCTCGCGAGGGAATTTGTCTACATGGGTGACGCAGGTGAGTGGCAGGAGCCTTTCGCCGGATTCCCGCCCGCCAATGTCCAGCGAATGAAAGAAATCAGAGCAGCCTATGATCCCAAGGGAGCATTTTCGAGGCTCAACTGGGGTGGATTCAAGCTTGGCTACTGATGAGGTTTTAAGAGCTGTTCCCTGTCAGGGAGCTTCTTCCCAGTCACAAAGCCTATCACGCACATATGGCCATAGGATCAATGAAGTCTCTCATATAAGTGGATAATAATACGATTCACTCATTGAAAAAGATAGATCACCCGGATGAACGAGACTTTTTGTCGCAACGGTTTAGGACGAATATACTTAGATACTGACATGAAAGAAAGTCCCCAACTATAGACCAAGTTATCTAGCGGTAAAACCACCATCAACTCTAATATCCGCACCATTGATCATACCGCTAGAATCCTATTGCAAAAGTCAGAACAAGAGACGCAGCCCACCAATCCGAAGAAACATACCTGACAAAGAAAAAGCACGGAATCAGCAACCTCCTCCGGAAGTGCAAACTTGCCCGTCGGTATACTCGCCAAGAAGGCCTTGCGAATATTCGCCTCCCCCCAAGCCTTCCTCCCAAGCTCCGTCCATGCCACAGTCGGAGACACAGTGTTAGCCGTGATACCCCGGCCAGCCCACTCAGATGCCATACTGCGCGTCAGACCCAATAGTCCAGCTTTCGAAGCACAATACGCGCCATGTCGATGCAGCGCGGCATGTGCAGCCTGAGATGAAATGCTGACGATTCTTCCCGGTGGTGGGGGACTCGGCGATGATTCGGCCGCCTTGGATGCGGCGAAATAGAGTCGAGCAAACGCTTGAGAGCAGAGCATTGGGCCGTAGATGTTAGTGGTGAGATGTTTCAGTGTTTCTTCGGGAGGTGTTATCTCCATGTCGCTGAGAGATACATATCCGGCTGTGTTGATCAGGATACTGGGGAAGACGCTTTCAGCTGCAGAGGAGGCTGGGTCAATCAATTGTTTCTCTAGAGAGTCGAAAGCCGCCTGCACGGAGTCTGGTGAGGTGATGTCGCATTCATAGGTGTGGATGTCATCTAGATTGCCGCTCGCGCCGTACCCGGATTCGAGAAGCTCGTCGCGACGTGCAGCTTCGAATGGTGCGTAAAGAATGGCGATACGGGCACCTTGTTGTCTCAGCTTTTGGCCTATGCTGGATCCAAGGCCGCCTGTAGAGAAGAGAAGTTAGGTTTGTATCCGGATCTATATCTCATGTCCTTACCGAGGCCACCAGGCATGATGGCTAATCTGCGTGCGAATGCCATAATGTACAGATTTGAATAATTGGCAGAGTGTCTACGAGGATATTGTTCAAAAGGAAGCAAACGGTGTGAACATCGAAGGAATATTCTCCGTTGAGGGGAAGCCGAACGCTTTTAGCAATGATCATCCCAGTATCCACCCCCACATTTTATGTAGAAGAGTTGAGGAAGCCCTAGAGGGTAGAGAATGCTACTACAGTACTTTGATAGTAAATAAACAAGGGATCTCATTGAATTATCCGACAAGTTTACTATTTCCAAACCAGCGAACTCAATTCATATCCTAATCAAAAATATATTGCATCCTTATCCCCTTTTCTCGGCATCTATTACCCCGAATCCCATTTACCTGTCTTTCTTCTCTCCGGCATGAATGTCAACATCATCCAACACAGCCTGATTCTCTTTCGCCGCCGCAACTCGAATCCTCTTTAGTTTCCTGGTATCAACATCCACTCGCCAAGTAAAAGCCCAAGTAATCAGGTTCATAATAATAGCCATACCAACAAATCCCATCGCAATCCCAAAGGAGGTCGTATATCGTGGCGCAAACCGGGAATTGAATAGCTGAGATCCCACAGCACCTCCGATCTGCCCATAACTGTTCGCAAATGCGATTGCAAAGGCAGATCCAGTTGCGCCCTCGGTGGTCTGGACTCGCCAGGGCCACATCATTGTATACCTGGTTTGTCTTAGCATGTGGCATCGAAATAATATAAAAGGTTCCCTCCAGAGTGTACTCACCATGCGGTTGAGAAACCTCCTGCTACAATCGTCGCGGCATATACACCACCGTTGTTTGGGAAGGCATACAGCACGCCATAGCATGCCAGAATGACAATCATGAATCCAAGCGGGATGGCCGGTTGAGGGATACGCCCGGTATCTGCGAAGATACCGAATGCGACTGTCAATATCACTGCGAAGACCGCAGATGGAATGTTAAGTAACTGGGCTTCGCCCATAGACCTTTGGGCTTTGTCAGAACATTTACTGTACCCTTCAACTTGGAATAACTCACGTAAACCCAAGATTGGAAATGACGGTTGGTTGGTAGAAATTGAGTCCCGTTGTGCCGATAGTGAAGAATGCCCAACAGGAGAGAAAAAGCCAGATTCGCTTATCCTTCAAGGTCGTGATTAGTTCGCGCAGATTGAAGTTAGCCTCCGCCGCTCGAGGGGAGTTGCTAGGTAGTCGGGCTTGAGTGAAAGCCTTTTCTTTTTCGGATAACCAGGATGCAGTTGAAGGAACTGTGGAATTGTTAGTTACTCTTGGCACTAGAAGTCAAGATTGACTTACAATCAGGCAGGAAGAAATACGTAAAGATTCCCAGTAAGACTGTGAAAATTCCTTCCGTCAAAATAAGCCTAAGAAGCATCATTAGCATATAATTTCTCCTTGGGAGGAAATCGAAATACCATTTCCATCCGGATAGACCACCAGCAACGACACCATTGAAAGCAAATGCAAGGACACCACTGATCACAGTACTGAAGTTCCCGAGTATAGTCACAAGAACTATCCTTGGAGCAATCTCATCTGGTCTATACCAATAGCATAACTGTAAGAGCATCCCTGGCCACAGGCCAGCCTCAAATAGACCGAGGAAGAACCGGACGACATATAGACCCTGCCTGTTTGTCACGGCTGCATGACAGCAGAGCACGATACCCCAAGATACCTGTAAATATCAGTCACGAACTAGTTAGAGGTAGAATGGTTCAATGTACCATAATCCGAGCTTGCCAAATCGAAGGTCTCACACCCTTCAACAAAAGGTTGGACGGGGCTTCTGCGAGAATGTAAGGGACCTCCATGGCATTAGTACAACTTGGAAATCACATTTTTGACCCGAGTTCTCTCACATAATACATAGTTGTGACCAGATTATACTGATCTGAAGTCATTTTCAATTCAGTTAAGATGTTACGGGATGTGCCTTGATCCATAATGCGGGCGTATGAGACCTAAAATATCGTGGTTAGTGATCTTCCACTAGCTTTATGGAAAATCTCACATTGGTAAAATCCACGCTTTTCACCATATACATCACAGCTAACAGTGGAATCAGATGCCAATCAATGCGTTGCAAAAGCTTCTTTTCCTCTGGGCTACTGAGTGTTGCACGTGCCCGCATCAGGGTGGCATCGTAGCCGGGGATGAGCTCTTTATCAAAGGACTCTGGAGTGTGGTTCCCATTGCGGTTGACATAGTGTACGTTTCCTTTCGCCGGTATCGGTGTTTTGACTGGGGAGATATCGATAGTCCCAACTTGACCCTTCTCTGCTATTTCAGAAGACATAGTGATCACCGACCTGTGTCTTTTGTACGGCTCATGGAAGAGAGGTACCGCTAGAGCAATAAATAGCAATGATATAGAAAGGATATCCTGGCCATTAAATGGGCTTTGATATTTGTTCTACTCCGCATTCTCAGAAAGTACCAAAAGTTGGTTATATCCTGTGTGAATTGCGCAAGATGAGCAAGGACTTATCGGCATGGCGTGCATGCAAGGGCTTACCAAGTGTCTTGTACTGTGCTGTGGAATACATTGGCGGAGAAAATCACTTATAAAAGCTCCGACTACCGTGCGCTGAGGCACCCCTCAATCTGGAAAGCAGGATATCGCCTTTACTACATGAGTCCATCATACCTAGGTACATAGTCGAACAATCTGTCAAGCTTATCTCCCACGAACCAACGCCCAGAGTAGTTCACTAATATCTACCAGTGCATTATCATCAATTAATCTTGACTTTTGTCAATTCATGAAATGAGTGTTGTAGATATGTTTTTATATAGCCCTGGTTAAATCCAACTAGATAATGCTTCGAGGTCGACAGAGCACGCAATAATTAGGCCATGCTCGGCAAATTCATGGCTTAGAAGTAATACAGTGAATTTGCCGAGCAAGGATACTGCATATCGCTACATGCAATAAGAAAATACATGTAACGAAATGAAGTAGGTAGATACTCCTACGAGTATACGCCATTGCGGGGAGATAATCCCTAATCGGCCCCATTTCACTTCATCTCTACCCGTCTACCAATAACATATCTCTTCAGTCCCTAACCTTTGTTACACTTCAATAATCTGAGAAATATGAAGATAAACTACTTTTATGCCGTCGCATCTCTAGCAAGACTGGCACTGGCGTTGAACTACCAACAACCCTTGCGTGGAAATGTAATCCACGAGAACCATGAGAACGTGAAATCTCCAAGCGTGGATTTGGACAGAATTATCGATGAATCTCCCCTTTTATCATTCCACAGAGAAATTGTGCAAATTCCATCAATCAGTGAACACGAGCGAAGCGTTGGGAACCTCCTCTTGGACTTCATCCGCTCGCACAACTTAACCGTCGAGAAACAAATCGTCACATCGGGGAGTGACACTGAGCAAGAAAGATTCAATGTCTATGCATACACTGGGGAAAACAGATTTCCCGATGTTCTTCTAACCAGTCACATCGATACTGTGCCACCATTCATTCCTTACTCGCTTCATCCACCAGCCTCGGGTAACACAGAGAATCTGACATTCAATCGGTCAGACCTGATTATCGCGGGCCGCGGCACAGTGGATGCCAAAGCCAGTGTCGCGGCTATACTATTTGCTGCACTGGAAACACTGGATGTCAACCCCGACGCCTCAATCGGGTTGTTATTTGACGTCGGCGAGGAAAAAAGTGGCGTTGGAATGAAACATTTTTCAAACTCCGACCTCAACCTAGCGCCACCTACATTCCACACAGTCATATTCGGAGAGCCAACAGAGCTTAAGCTTGTCGCCGGGCATAAAGGTACACTTGGATTCAAGATTATCGCTGAAGGCAAAGCAGCGCATTCGGGATACCCATGGCTCGGGAAAAGCGCGATCTCTTCGCTTCTTCCCGTTTTATACCACCTCGATACCCTGCAAGATGTCCCGCCAGAGAAAGGTGGACTTCTCCGTAGTAAGAAGTTTGGTCAATCGACATTGAATATTGGAGTCGTGCGCGCTGGCTTAGCTGCCAACGTTGTTCCTACGTATGCCGAGGCAACGATTTCCGTGCGTCTCGCGGCTGGAAGTCCAGATGACACGAGAGATATTGTGAGGAAAGCGGTTGAAGATGTGACTGGTGGTGATGGAAGCGTCTATCTTGACTTTGGGGACACAGAGAACGGCGCTCCACCACAACATCTTGATTTTGACGTCGACGGTTTTGACGTGATTACTGTGAACTACGGGACTGATATTCCTAGCTTGAAGATCAGTACTCAAGAAGGTCCAAAAGTGAAGCGGTATCTCTACGGGCCGGGTAGTATTCATGTTGCCCATGGCGGTGACGAGGCAATCACCGTCGGAGAGCTTGAAGAGGCAGTGCGAGGATACAAAAGGCTGATCTCAGCCGCGCTGGGTGCCCACTAGACGCAAGCCTTCTTTTGGCTTGAGAATAGACCAATGCTACAACGATAATACTCTACGTTTTCGATCATATCTACGAGCCTACAAGCGGTTTGCTGACCTGGCCCAAAGGCATCGGACCACATCGGACCATCAGTCCAGGAAGTCCAGTAGACAGTAGGACGACCATAGACTGGAGTGCAACACCCGGACCTCCTGTGACTGAGGCTCCTGTGGTGGAGTTCAATCCCTGCTCGTGCTTTGGAGCGACATAGAAGTGAGTGATGAAAGGAACGGTTCATCACAAACACCACTTCACGTATGCCTCGGGGGCAGTAGGACATTAGCCCAGCTCAACATAGGAATGATCTGGGGCCGAGCCTGTCAGTAGCAAACCGCCGATCTATACCCCAAAAGGGGCAGTTAGCAGCATCTGCCTTGAGATCAGATCTTCAAGGCATGACACCAAGTAGGGAGAGAAGAGGGATGAAGCATGCATGTCCTTTCGCTGGTATTGTCCAGATCAAGTTTTAACGGTAATTTCTCAGAACGAGACTCGCGCTTTTGGAAGACCAAAAACGCAAGACCTCGAACACCCGTCATGCGTGCTGCAGAAAACACACTTACCAAAAAATCACCCCTATATGGATGCCCACAATCCCACCTTTTTTCCCCCTTCTTGCAGTCCCGATGACTACCAAGAAAAGGGAAACGACCGTATAACCCCTCACTGGTTTAAACGACAGTCGCATCGGCCGAGACATTCGTCTTCTCCTCGGGTCCAACAGAGTGCTCTGTCTCGGTATCCGAGTCAACGATTTTGAGATGCTCAAACCAATCCCCATTGGACTTGCGCCACCACTCGGCGATCGCAATGATAGTCACGCCGCCCATGATCACAATCGCGTAATTGAACAAGGTGGAATCTTGTTCAATGGCACTGTCCGAGTAGGCCGGGGCGCACAGAACAGAAAAAGCAAACCCGTTCCACAAGAATGTAACCACTGCGGCAACCACACCAAACCGGCCCAAATCCCAGAAGCCTGGACGGAACGATTTACGCGTAATGAACGCGCGACCGATTCCAACCAAGCCGTACGCTGCGAGAGAACCTGCAGCCGAAGTGGATACCAAGCTGGAGAAAGCCACTTGCGACGGGAGCTGAGTGCAGAGGAGAAGCGCGGCAATCACGGAAATAAAGATGACAGCGTTGTGAGGCTGCTTCGACTTCGACACACGCGACAGCACGTCACTGAATGGGAAAACGCCATCGCGTGCAACGGCGAATACAAGTCGCGATACGGCAACCAGGGAAATCGAAGTGTTGAGAATTGCTCCAATCATCGCGACAATGGTCATCACAACGTGCGCATGGGGACCGAGCGCCATCGCGTACATGTTGATGAACGGCTGAGGCACGCTAGTGTCGTAGAAGGTCTCAATCGGAGGCATGCAGAAAAGAAACAAGATGATGATCGGGAAGCCGCACAACGCAGACGCAACGGTTGCCCAGAAGATACCCTTTGCGGCGGCTTTCTTGGCCGATATGGTCTCTTCTGCAACATGACCCGAGGCATCCTGCCCCACAAGACAACTGCCGACCAAGTACCAGGATAGAACCCAGTTCAGTCCGGGACTGGTGTCCCCGCCATTGTATGTAGACGTAAACACATATTCGGCTGACTGGAAGCCGTATGTCTTAGATACGCCGATGGGAAGCCAGATGAAGTTGAGCAACATATCGATAATAATGACCGTCACACCCGCTCGGAATACCCACGAGTACATACGTGGGGGCAGGAAATTCAGCGTGGTAGCGATGGCCAGGAAAAGAAGCGAGATGGCCCATGCCACGGCGCGCGCTCGGACGTCGGCTGTTTCATATGGAAAGCTTGTCTTCGGATTAAATACGACGATCTCCGAAATCAGGTAGTTGGCGACACCGAACGAATCACTCGCGAGGAAGGCGGTCCATGCAACCAATGTCCATGCGGCAACTAGGAAGGAGATGAAGCGGCCGATTTGACCGCCTCCCCAGGATCGGAAAGCCCAGTAGTAAATCGACCCCGCGGCGGGATAGCTTGAACAAGCTTCAGCGAGACAGGCGGCCGTGATGACGGATAGTATGCTACCGGACACCCAAGAGCTCCAGCTGAGGGAGTTATTAGTAATGTGATCAATGCGCGGGAACTGCAGGCGGCGGAAAATGGAAAACATACATGGCAGCCGGGCCGCCTCCACTGAGGGCGATATAGAAAAGCACACGGATTCCTCCAACACAATTCAGGGCCGCGAAGGAGCAGGCAAAATTGTCGAACGAGCCCCAGCCTCGGGCCAGGACAGAGCGGTAGCCAAGCTTTAGGAGGTCGCGATCATCTTCATTAGTCACAGAAACTCCATCGGAGTTCTGGTGTTTGTTGTTTCGGCCATCTTCCGGGGAGTTGGCTGCATCGAGGGCAATAGCAGGGTAGGCCATGGCTGCTGTTTTGTCTGAGATACTTGAGATACTTGACAGTGGCTTTCTTTTGTTTTTCTTTTCCCAAAGCAAGAAAAAATATTCAATTAACTTTTTTTCCTATCACGACATCACATCACGTGGAGACGATCAATTGCTTGAATGGACCCTCGGGGCCCGACACCGGGATTTCTTAGATCTGAGTCATTATTTTTTTAGAGAATCAAGAAGAATTGACAAGAAAATACTATCAATTCGCTTGTATAGACATGTACGGAGTACGGAGTACGGAGTATGTTGTCCATGTAGGTCTCAATGTGAGCTTCCTGTTATGCGGGTTGAGGTAGCGGGGTCAATTGCCAACGTGTCACAGTTGCCCCGTACTCCCCCTGTCTGCATTCTTTTTTTTATATATCTACTTTTAATAGGCTTGACCGCTCATCGATAAATTGAAATTTACAGACACGTACGAAGCCCTTACTGAAAAAATGAAAAAAGTAAAGAACATTAGGCAATACTTGTAAAACAACATTGAACTCAGAAGCCTTATCAGTGTCTCAATGGCGTGATCATCCACAGGGGGGACCGATCACGGAGATCATGGGGTATTGGTACTGAAAATAACAGTAAGTTACACAAGCTCCCAGATGATCCGCCCAGAGACCCTGGATCTCAAGTACACAGAGATACATGAAGGTACTGTATCATGTATGATACTGTATTACTACCCCTCCAACTTGCAGGTGGACCGAATCCCCATTGGGACGAAATCCCCATTAGGATTAGTGTATGTTTCCCTCCCCTCCATATTTCTTTGAGCATTTCCCGGACCTTTCCCCTTCTCTTCCTTCACTCTCTCTCTCTCAAAAGGCATCGGATTTGTGAAAATTCTATCCTTGAGACTCCTTTTTCTTTTCTCCTTTTCACATACTGTCAGAATGGTTCAATCGTATGTTGGCTCGACTATAAACGATTACTGAAGTACTTGCTGATTAGTTGGATAGATCTATTCTGGGTTTCCCCCGCATGGGAAGACTCCGTGACCTCAAGAAGGCCACTGAGGCTTACTGGGCTGACAAGATCTCCCGTGAGGATCTCCTCGCTGAGGGCAAGCGTCTTCGTTTGGAGCACTGGAAGATCCAGAAGGATGCCGGTGTCGATGTTATTCCCAGCAACGACTTCGCCTTCTACGATCAGGTTCTCGACCACCACCAGCTCTTCGGAACCATCCCCGAGCGTTACTCCAAGTACAACCTCAACCCTCTCGATGAGTACTTCGCCATGGGCCGTGGTCTCCAGAAGGAGGGCATTGATGTCCCCAGTCTGGTATGTGCAAATCATTACAATATACGTGTCCAAATTCAGTATGCTGACTCAATCAACAGGAAATGGTCAAGTGGTTCGACTCTAACTACCACTACGTGAAGCCCACTCTCCAGGACAACCAACAGTTCAAGCTCGCCGCTGAGCCCAAGCCCGTTGCTGAGTTCCTCGAGGCCAAGGCTGCTGGCATCATCACCCGCCCCGTCCTCCTTGGTCCCGTCTCCTTCTTGACTCTCGCCAAGGCCGACCGTGACCAGACCGTTGACCCCATCACTTTGCTTGAGAAGCTCCTTCCTCTCTACGTTGAGCTTCTGTCCAAGCTCAAGGCCGCCGGTGCCGAGGATGTCCAGATTGACGAGCCCGTCCTCGTCTTCGATCTTGCTGAGAAGTCCAAGGCTGCCTTCAAGCCCGCTTACGAGAAGCTCGGTTCCCTCGGTGCTGAGGGTCCCCGCATCACTCTCGCCACCTACTTCGGTGACATCGTCCACAACATTGATGTTCTCGCCGACCTCCAGAGCCTCTACTCTATTCACATCGACCTGGTCCGCAACCCTGAGCAGCTCGACACCGTCGTCGCCGCTCTTGGCCCCAAGCAGGTCCTCTCCGCCGGTGTTGTCGATGGCCGTAACATCTGGAAGACCAACTTCAAGACCGCCATTGAGAAGGTCGAGAACGCCATCCAGAAGCTCGGCAAGGACCGTGTCATTGTTGCCACTTCCAGCTCCCTCCTTCACGTCCCCCACACTCTCGCCAGCGAGAAGACCCTTGATGCTGAGGTCCGAGACTGGTTCTCCTTCGCTGTTGAGAAGGCCACCGAGGTTGTCGTGATCGCTAAGGCTGTCACCGAGGGCCCCGCCGCTGTCCGTGAACAGCTCGAGGCCAACGCCAAGTCTGTTCAGGCCCGCGCTTCCTCTGCCCGCACCAACGACCCCGCTGTCAAGGCCCGTCAGGCTGCTGTCACCCCTGAGATGCACAACCGCAAGTCTGCCTTCCCCGAGCGTTACGCCGAGCAGACCAAGACTCTCAAGCTCCCTCTCTTCCCCACCACCACCATTGGTTCCTTCCCCCAGACCAAGGAGATTCGCATCCAGCGTAACAAGTTCACCAAGGGTGAGATCACTCCTGCTGAGTACGAGAAGTTCATCGAGAAGGAGATCCAGGAGGTCGTCAAGATCCAGGAGGAGCTCGACCTCGATGTCTTCGTCCACGGTGAGCCCGAGCGTAACGACATGGTGCAGTACTTCGGTGAGCGCCTCACTGGTTACGTCTTCACCACCCACGCCTGGGTTCAGTCTTACGGCTCCCGCTGCGTGCGTCCTCCCATCATTGTCGGTGATATCTCTCGCCCCGCCCCTATGACCGTCAAGGAGTCCAAGTACGCCGCTTCCATCTCCCCCAAGCCCATGAAGGGCATGCTCACTGGTCCCATTACTTGCCTCCGGTGGTCTTTCCCCCGTGACGATGTCCACCAGTCCGTCCAGGCTCAGCAGCTCGCTCTCGCTCTCCGCGACGAGGTTGTTGACCTTGAGGCCGCTGGCATCGCCGTGATCCAGGTCGACGAGCCTGCTCTCCGTGAGGGTCTTCCCCTCCGCACTGGTGAGGCCCGTGTTGCCTACCTCAAGTGGGCTGTTGACTCCTTCAAGCTGTCGACTGCTGGTGTCACCGATGGCACTCAGATCCACTCCCACTTCTGTTACTCTGAGTTCCAGGACTTCTTCCATGCCATCGCCGCTCTCGATGCCGATGTCCTGTCCATTGAGAACAGCAAGTCCGATGCCAAGCTCCTCAAGGTCTTCATTGACGAGGCCTACCCTCGCCACATCGGCCCCGGTGTTTACGACATCCACTCCCCTCGTGTCCCCACCGAGCAGGAGATCAAGGACCGCATCGAAGAGATGCTCGCGTACCTTACTCCCTCCCAGCTCTGGTGCAACCCTGATTGGTTCGTTTTTGCCCCAAAATCTATTTTCTTTTTAACATATGCTAATATGCTTCTTTTGCAGTGGACTCAAGACTCGTGGCTGGCCCGAGACAAAGGCGGCTCTGACTGCGGTAAGAAATGGCAATTTCTCTAAAAATGACGTTCAAAATGCTGATCAAACACAAACAGATGGTCAACGCTGCCAAGTACTTCCGCCAGAAGTACGCGCAGTAAATTATTTAATTTACAATTAATTTAATGAGGAGGTGACAATCAACCTGTCACCTCGGGACTGGGGAGTTTTCTTTTCTGATGAGTTACGACGATGATACCAAAAGTTCAACATATGGGTTTCAACGGGTTTTCTAGAGGATACCAAAAGCGGGCCTGGAGTTTCAACATGACTGACGATTTTAAATTGGCGCTGGCCGACATCATGACCTACTTTCGTGATGATGTTTGGCTAGTGCTAGTTTTACCATTTCAACATTGTGTGGTTTTCCACATACAGCAAGCTCTACAACCTTGCTTGATCGAATTCGCATTGTCGAATTCGATCTACTGTTTCTATTATCGTGTAGAATCAGTTGTCAATATTACAATTTACAATACTCTGTGTTTCTTGTAGATGCTTTTTCATATCAACGTAGTACTTCTCTGTCGAGGAGATGAACTCTATAGAATTGTGCTTTGCAAAAATTATATGGCAATCAACCTGTATACCACTGTATATTAGGAAACATGCTGCCTGGATGGCTTCTGCTATATTATCACAGACTACAACATTCCTCACACTGGAAAACATGTTGTTATACGGTTAGAAGACTACAGCGAGCCTGATCATATGGAAAAGAAAAAGGATTTAATCAATTATCCAAAAATTTTCAGTGAGTACAATCGAGCTCGGCATACCCGTCACAGACCTCAAGTAGTTTAGCCTGCGTGCCAGGTTCCTGGAAGACATTAGCAAGGCCATGTGTCAGAAACCAATTCAATCGAAGGGAGAGAGTATACTCACACCAGCGCTGTGACCAGCATCAGGAGTCCAAAGCAATCGCGAGTCTGGCAGGCCCTTGTGCAGATCCCAAGCCGTCTGTGGTGCGCAGACAATATCGTAGCGGCCCTGGATAATAGTGGCTATAAGAAAAAAGAATTAGCTACATTATCCAAATTTATATTGACCAGGAGTGACAAATGACTTACTCGGAATATGGCTAATCCTAATCAAATTCTCCTCCTTGAGAATCTGACCCTCCTCCAGGAAACACCCATTCGCAAAGTAATGCGCCTCAAGTCTCGCATGGGCGAGCACCCATGCATCATCTTCGAGCTGAGCAAAACCATCGGGTTGCGGTCTCAAAGTGTCAATACTCAAATCCCACCGATTCCACTCCCTCGCCGCAGCGACCCTTGTCTCATAGTCCTCCGAGACAAGGAGATCATAGTACGCCTCGTTGGGTTTCGCCCGATCGTTTTCAGGAAGATAATTGATGAATGCTTCGTAAGCTTCAGGGAACAAGTTTGCTGCGCCAACGGGCCCACGCGAGAACTCTAGTTCAGATTTCCTGCCAGTGAAGATCCCCCGAAGTACCAGGGAGCCGACCATTTCCGGGTAGGCTTGTGCATAGAGCAAGGACAGGGTCGACCCCCACGAACCCCCGAACACGAGGTGCCATTTCGCGATTTGGAGGTGGTTGCGTAGGACTTCGATGTCGGAGACTAGGTGCTGACTTGTGTTCTCGCGTATTTCGGCTGCGGGCGTTGATCTCCCGGCACCACGTTGGTCGAACAGCACCACGCGGTATATAGCTGGGTTGAAGAATTTGGTGTTGTCATATGAGGTGTGCCCGCCGGGTCCACCGTGAAGAAACAGGACTAGTACATAACGTCAGTATATTCTCCATTCAAACTTCGATGTATAAACTGTAGTCAATTATCATGAAGTACTTATAAATGGAAGAAGATGTGTGTTTTAAGATAGGCTCATCGTTGTCTCTTACCGGGTTTCCCATCTTGGTTACCATACTGCTCATAATGCAGAGTATGGATATCGCTCACGCGGAGTCTCCCTATATCAAAGGCGGCTGAGTGGGTGTATCCGGTCAATCGCTCAGCCATGTTTAATTTCAAGTTGTGTATGTGTAATGAGTGGCTCAAGATCGGGGCTACTGTCTCTACTAAGAGGAAAATCGCGCAAGACTGACTCATATATTAGCGACCTCGGGAGTCAGGGATATTTCAGGCGTTACCCGATTTGGTTCTTGTATGAACTATTTTTTATCTCTTTTTTTCGCTCATATCTCACTTGGCTCTCTGATTTACATCACCTAGCTTTTGCTTATTTTTGCACTTACAGCCCTGGAGAAACATAGTGCCAAGTACACTTACCGCAAAACTAACATATGAGATTTTGATATGATTTGACCGACCAGTGCTCATCCTATGCCATCTATTAAGTGATTCCAAAGAATATATTTAGATGGAGAGAGGCCAGTGTCTAGTGGAGGGGTCCAAAGAAGGCAGACGATTATCAGATGGTCAACTGGAGGATAAATACTTCCCACAGCAGAAGAGATTAGGAGACACCGCGCTTGTTTTATCCTCTTGTCCTAGACTAGATATACTATATTATATTATGGAGAAAATTTAGATAGGCTAAGTCCACATGTTTTGGCGACTCAGGGATGATATTGAGATGAGAGGGAACATTTGAATTGTAACCTGGCGTCCTATCTGGTTTTCCATACATATGCAATGCAGAGTGTCAACACGGAAGTAGGTAATTTTGCACCTATAGGGCTATTGGTACTCTAAATTTCCCTAGTGTCGCCTGTGGGAATTGGAATTTCGATCTAAGCTGTCGCCATTTTTATAAGGAGCACATGTTCACCCAGTGATCTGTGATCATGTAGACGCAAGCCCATCCACAGATTTCCCGTCTAGGGTCATGTAGATACCTGTGCCACCGCAAAGGACCTGGGCGGGAAATGAAACCCCCAGCGTAAAGTCAATAACACATGCTCGGATATGGACACTGGGAGAGGCCTACTCCGAGTGGGTCAAAATGTTAAGGTCCCCATCAGTCCCAAGCGGGGAATGCCCCATTTACATATGTGTGGAGTATACTACGGAATATATACACGATATATACTCTGTATTTGAAAAGCGCTTATACCCCTAGTGAAGCACCCTGTTTTAACCAACGAGAACACTATACAGGATTACTTCTATTGGCGACGAGACGAAGAGCCAAAACTGGTAGCTTTTTAGGGGTTATCAGAACTAAGAGAGATGCGGCTGGCTACATATAAATTCAAAGCCAATGAGAACACCAAGATCGCCAGAATTAGGGCCTATTAGAGTTAGTTGGATGCTAAGAATAATAGCCGCCACTAACGCTCTTAGCGTGTCGCTAGGCAACCACCTCCCAGTCACCCGTCGCCCCACATTGGTATCCTTTTCTTTCATAGTCCATGCAAATACAGCTAGAGACAATAAAAGACGCTTACAGTGCTCCATTAAATCCATCAACTCCCTCCAACTTCTTCCATCCATACTATCCCTCGCCTTGTCCAAGGTCAAAGACATCAAATACACAACATGCCTACTAGATCACCTGAATCACCTGAATCACCCGAACGTTACAAAGACCGCAGGTTCTTACTAGAGCTGGAGCTTGCTATTGATGAGCTTGAAGAGCGCAAGACGCACAAAATTGACGTGGCAAAACTCAAGGGATTTGGTATTGATCAACAGCGCATGACCCTTGATAGAGAAGATTCAGCCCACAAGCCTTCCTTCTTCGTGCCATATCCTAGCATCCCGGAGCCCAGTGATAGCACCGTTGATGATGTCCGCTCGATTTTAGAATTTGAGGACATCTGTTTTACGGAACCTGTCGATCGGGCACGTCAGCTTGCAGGCCCCTGGTCGTCCTATGTTCCCTACGGGATGCATGCCCCATGGACCTCGAAAGAGTGAAGTTACCACTCGCCTGAGCCTCTCCACTACAATGGATTATGGCAGCTAATATGGATAGTAATGACGATTACACTCCTTACAAGGATTTGTATCAAGTTGACGAGCCAGAATTTGGGCCTTTTAGGATGACGGATATTCGTGGAAAGGCCTTCCCGCACGCCAAGGCATTCATGTACAACAACCTAGGCGCTACGGATGAGACGATTCTTCGTGGGGAGCTCTTGACTATTCTCCGCCTGATGCTTGGTTAGCTGAGGAAGGTACGCTTCCTTAAGCATAGGAAAGCACCGGTAATTTCCCCCAGAGCTATTCTTCAGTCCCAATTTCCACCAGTCACTTACTGGGTACTCTGTAGATCTTTATGGTCTCATTTATGGGCAAGCATGCCCGCGCTTTTGAGTCATATTTCAACGGTCGAGCCCTCATCCTGCGTGCCACTAAACTCTACAATTTCCCCGATGAAACCTTTATCGGGTTCAAGAATCTTGCAGAATGGTATCCCAGCTCGCCGGCAGGGGATACATTCCAGGTTGGAATTTAGTTGTTTTCTTTTTCGGTGAGCGAAGGCGTTGGATTATTAGCAGGGATACCAGATTGAATTTTTGACTTCTTTTGTTGGGCGGTATCTCCATGTGCTATAGTGTTACAGCGTAATACTTACCGTTTATAAGAATAGTATAATTACCCTTGATACCAGCCCGACAATATTTTGAGCGAATGGGGCCGAGTATTTATAGTAGAAATGAGTACAAACGTACTGGAGCAAAATAGCCGACCTAATAAAGAATGTCTTGGCACAAAAAGCTTCTGACGTGATAAGCTGTGAAACAAAGAATTTAGCACGTGAATCTCTCAACCTTAGGGAATTCCCTCCCCCCATGTTGATTTTTAATTCATTCCAATATGGTACCCCGACTTAATCACAGAGCGGGTCAAATTGTCCTCAAACCACCCAATGATCGAACTCTGCGATTCCGAGAAGATGGAACATTTCACATTGGAGTCTTTGAGGACTTGCATTTCGCCGAGGGTATACGTTGGTGCCATCCCAGAAAGGGGCTATTACTAACTCCCTAATAGATGAGGAAAAAGACGAAAAATCCAAAGAAGTGATGTCATATATCCTCTCGGAGGAGGACATTGACTTCGTAGTCATAAATGGCGACTTGGTGTCCGGCGAAAGAACCCAAAAAGCCGACTCGAGCAAATATATCGATTCGGTTGTTTCCCCACTCGTCGATCAGGGGTACAGGTGGGCCTCCACCTACGGCAACCACGACAGCGCGGTTAATCTCAACCCAAAAGATGACATGTTGAAGGCCGAACACAAATACCCCAACAGCTTGACGCAGAGTAGAGTATCCGGCCACAAGGCTGGAATAACGAATTATTACCTGCCGGTCTTTTCACATGGACAGGCGAATACTAGTACACCGACGTTACTACTGTGGTTCTTCGATTCGAAGGGTGGACATTATTATAAAAAGCAAGGAGAAGACGGGCCTCCTGTTAAGAGACCCAATTGGATTGATGAATCGGTAGGGAAAAAAAATCCCCGGTCATACCACATTGTTTCAAGGAAATAACTAACTGGCTGCATTCAAGGTCGTTGACTGGTTCACCGAAACCAGTTCCAAACTGAAAAAGGAGTATGGCAAAGTCATCCCATCGCTAGCATTCTACCACATACCCGCCCATGCGGTGCTCGAATACCAACAAACAAAAGGTGTAAATCCACATCTGACGCCCGGCGTAAATCGCGAACGGGCTAACCCGCAAGGGACTGGCCTATGGAGATACGACGGCCAGGACGTCAAGTTTATGAACGCGCTCCTTCATACCGAGGGCTTAATCGCAGGTTTTAGCGGCCATGATCACCAAAATGACTGGTATGCGCCTCTAGCAGACAACGTGACTTGGAGTGACTCAGACGCTAATCATACATCGCAGGTGCTTTAAATGGGACGGCTCTCTTGTCGATCACGATCTAACCGGGAACGGTATCAATATGTGCTACGGTCGGCATACTGGATATGGCGGCTACGGTAATTTGGTCCGCGGAGGACGGCAGATCTTACTCCACGAGGACAATCTTGCAAACGACACTGAGACGTGGATTCGATTGGAAGATGGGTCGGCCCAGGCTCGTGTGACGTTAAACGCAACTTATGGTCAGGATACTTACCTTGCTGTTGCTAATGGTGGCGGGAAGCACGATTCCTATGCGCAGGGCTCTTTGCTTTCTTTGACTTGGTTATGGGTTCCCATTATGATGCTCTCGCGGTGGAGGATTTAATGAGTTCTTTTGGCTCTAGGAGTTATTGTTATAGATTGCTATAGATTGCTACACCAGTCTTAATAAAACGAAATAATGACCAGATTGAAATAGTCTACACGAGAGTAGAGAAGTAAGTCTCGTGCCTTTCATAGATATTTTAGGGTCACTTCTCGAGGTCTAAATGATGGATTATATACAATTATATCCTCTTTATACTGACATGACTCCTCCCACTCCCTCCATTTTTGTCATCTTCAAAGCGGCCAATCTGTGTTCTGGAGGTCTGGGTATGTACAGCCAATAACGACGATCACCCTTTACAGGTAAATGTAGCAGAAAGGACCAGAGACGGTGCTCATGAGATCCCGCATAGTAACAGTCTCGCCACCAGCATAACCAATATCAAGAGGCGTGTCAAGAGTAGTGTTAGGCGAAGCAGGGCCGTTCAAGAAAGTAGCAGTGCCCGAAATAGCATTCAGACGCTTGTGGAGGTTCAAGTTCTGCCAGATCCACCAAGTGCGATCAATCATACCGTGGTGGAGCCAGAAAGCAGGGTCACCGGGGCTAACAAAGACATCACGGGAAGGATCGCCGCCCATGGAGTAGTGACCACCACCGTGGACACCGATGTTGCCGCTGCCGGGAACACCCTGCATGTTCATCTGGAAGTCGTAGATGTCGTCGTGGCGCAGGATCAGATCCACGATCGCGGTGAAGTTAGCGTAGTCCTTGACAATCTTGGTGCTCAGATCGCGCTTCAGGCAGCGGGGGTTGTATGCGAGCGGGTTAGCTGAGGTCTCGGCTTGTCCTCCGGGCACCATCAACGTAACCGGGCCCAGGTTGACAGAGTAGTCTTTGAAGGGGCCGCTGGTGACACAGCCGCCTCCAGTGCCGGTGGGGAGGTGAATGACAGGGTAGGCACCTAACGACAGCTCGATGTCGCCAACGCTTTCGACGTAGGCACCGTTGCCGGACATCGAGGTCTCGCTGCCGTCGAAGACTTGGGACTTCTCCAGGTCAGCGGCGTCGGCGCCCCAGTTCCAGTAGCTGTGTTTATGTTAGAGATTGGGGATTTTGTTATGCGATTGTCAGACTTACGGGTAGTCGCCAGTGTAGTCACACTCATTGCGCATGGCTTCCTCGAAGTTCCAGATGTAGTACCGGTGCCACGCCAGGAAGGTTCCAGTGTAGTGGATTCCCGTGGTCTGGTTGATGTGTGTAGCAACGAAGTCATCGTAACGGGACCGCGCACCAGGAGCCACCTCGGAGGGAGTGAGCGAGGGCAACTTCTGCAGGCAAAGGATGGAATTGATGTAGGACGTCTTCTGAGTCTTAGAGAAAGTCCTCCAATCACGACGAATGCGCAGGCTGCTCAACGAACATCCACCGCGCTTCTCAACATTCGAGTCAGTCGAGACACTCTCGATGGTGGCATCGTATGCCAAGCCAGCCAAGTCGTCAAGCTGGGACTCAGCGACCGGCAGGGAGGTGGATGCAGCGGTGGGAGTCGCAGCGCTCACAACAGCACTCTCCGTGACAGCGGGCATAGCCAGCGCCTGTGCGAACAAAGCTCCCAGAGTGAGAACGGAAATGGCAACCATGGTGGCGAGTTGTATATTTGAACCTCTGAAGACCAGGAAGTTCCACACCAAAAGTTTAGGAGAAGTGTTGATCAAAAAGTAATCTGGGCATGATCGTCGATTTAAAGACTGGGTGCATATGCCAATCACCCCTATCTCGGCTTTCGGAGTCGAACTAACGCATCTATCATATTTTTTTCCTGCATGTATGCCCCCATGGCCCCTCTGCTAGGGCCATTTAGGGCACCGGGCCATGTTCCGCTTTTCCCCACCGCCGGGAGATGCCGGCAATTTGCGACACAATTTGCATTTCCAAGGGTCCTGTTTCCCACTTGAATCGCTGGCTCACGGACCGACCCTTCTATACCCTGAAGATCACCCAAGATATTCATGGATATAAAAGAACCCTTGGGATCAAATAATAAATTTGAAGCCACATTGTCAGCAGAACCAGCCACCTCGTGGTACCCTTGTTTCTTAGCGACTTGGCAACTTCCTCTAAGCGACTGACCCAATCACATCGGCATAAATCGACTTCGGTCAAAGCCAATCTCGGAATGATACCCCGATACCCTAACTATGGAAACTCAGTTAAACTGCAATCCACCATCGATGGAACCTTCCGTTAAATCCGAGGTTCAATTTCCTCCCAGGTGCTTTCTTACCGATGGTGCCAAGACTGCTCATTGGCCATGTTTCTAATGACCAACTTATATCCTCGATGCCGGGTCCGAGGCCGTATTCTGGAACATCTTTTAGTGTGATACAGCACTTTCTTCATGCCCTTCGGACTTAGCTTGGATGCCGACAATGGCTTTGTGTTTTATTGTTATGCCCATCGTCCCTTATGAACGGCCGAAAGGAGATTGTCGACCCGAACCTGAAGGAGATAAAACAGGAAATTGGTCTGTGGCGTTGAGTATATTAAAAACCCCATACGAGACTTACGCCACTTGCATTCGTTGGCTTCGGTAGCCACAACAGTATGGAGTAGAGCTGAATGTAATATTAAAAATATGACAGGATGCACTATCTATTTGCTAACACTTTTTATAACCCTTGCAAATTTGCCCTAGAATAATCCATAATCCCTGTCCGATTCTTCTCTCCAATGCCTAGCCTTCCATAACTCCTACGACACTCATGTCGGACAGTGCTAATATCGGAGGCACTGGCCTACGAGATGTTAACCAAGGACCTAGAATTATCATAGCCACGGCTATCACTACTGCCGTCGCATTAATCACCGTTCTGGCTCGGTTCTACGTGCGCGTGTTTCTTATTCGCAATGTCGGGTGGGATGATTATACTATGGCCCTGACGATGCTGCTGTCTGTCTGTGGATTTGCCATTATTGTCCCCGAGGTGAAATATGGTGCAGGCAGACATATGGTCTTTGTCCAAGAAACGGCCGTAATGGCAATGCATTTGAATTATGCTACCCAGGGTATTTACATGTGGGCCATTGGCTCGGTGAAGATATCAATTGGGCTGTTTTTGCTTCGTTTTGCACCCCGCAGAGGGTATAGGATCTTTATCTGGGTTGTCATGGGTGTGTAAAGGCTTTTGCCTCTTCTTTTTGTGATCCAGTACTGACAAATCCGACTCATGTAGTCCTCATGACGCTCTACACTGCAATCTGCTTTTTGGTACGTAACCTATCCCCCATATTCTATCGCGGACAACAGCTAACTTGATGTATTGCAGACTCTTATCTTTGAGTGTCAGGATATCCGAGCAAATTGGGATCCTGCGGTGAAATCGAAGTGCTTTAGTCGCACACAACTTTTGACTCTGAGCTATACCAACACTGGTGAGATTGACAATGCATGGCTATAGTTAAACATTTTCTAACTTGAATAGCACTAAATATTTTGACTGATCTGGTCTTCGCGATTCTACCGGTCTTTATGCTACGGTATGTTTCATGGGCATCGCGTTTTAGGGTGACAGGCTAATACGATCATCGACAGACATCTTCAAGTCAATCACCGAGTTAAAGCCTCCCTAATCTGTATCCTGGGCCTAGGAATTTTGTAGGTTACTTTCAATCCAATGCTATCAAAACCACGCTAACTCTTCTACTCCCTTCAGTGCATGCGCAGCCGCCTTCGTCAAGCTCTCTATCCTACCCAGCTACGGCCAAACCGGCGACTTCCTCTGGGACTATACAAACCTCACAATCTGGGTCGTGTAAGTTGTTTATGCTATCTCAAGCACCGGAGGCCACCCTTCAAACCCCATACTAACCAGTAACAGCACGGAATGCAACACCGGTATTATCGCTGGAAGCCTCCCAACCCTCAAACCACTCTTCAAGAGAGTCCTCGGCACATACGGCTCGAATACGAAAACCACCCGCGAGTACTTCGGCAGCAAGAAATATAAACTGCAGTCAATGTCTCGGTCAAGGGGGCCACCACTGCAATCCCGGGCGCATAAAAGTGGGAATCTCAGTATCATTGAATTCGACGCTGATCCAAAGACTCAACACTCCCGGATCGGGTCTACAACAAACTCGACGAAGTACTCTGGAAGTCAACGAAGCAATTCAAGTGAGGAGCGGATATTGCCAATTGAGGGTGAGGGGATTGTTTGCACAACGGAGGTGATGATTTCGCGAGAGCAGAATCCTCCAGAGAAGCCGCCCAGCCCTCCCACTTTGCCCAAACTGGGCAGGATGGGATCGCTGAGTGGCTTGCGCGTCAATGCGGATGATAGGGTTTGACTTTGTATTATTGGGAGTTATATCTAGGTGACAGGATTATGTATATTAATATTAATATACCCAAGGAGTACATGGGCAAATAATGTGTATATCGATGGCAAATCAAAGTGTCTGTTTTCCATAGTCGACCAAAGCGACATGATTGTTCTAGCGGTGCCGCTTATACCCTACTTCCGAACCTCTCGCGACCTCGGAACTTCCATGCCACACCAAGACAACAGCCATCATCCACAACAGGAACACTTTGGCAGATCCTGTTGGGACTGCTACAAAATAGGGCTCAGAAAGTGAGGAGGGAGGGAGGTGGATGCAGTCGTGTTCGACCAAGCATGCGTTTGCTTTGTTGATCTACGTACATCACACATTACTGTTACACTACATGGATTCTAAAACCAGTGTCCACTTGGCATGGGCGAAGACACAGGCCTTGGACGATTCTGTGTGGGGATCCAGTTGATATCCGCAAGTGTACGATATGGAGCAATCGACAATTACATTCACAAATGATGTGCTGAGCAATTTAAGTTCCACACAGAAAAGCTCATATTTGAATATCTCTGTAGAAGATAGGTATTGGTATGCCGCCAACACAGTATTTCAATTCCACGAATCAGAATACGTTAGCTCATGCTGATAATCAGATACGACAAAAGCCGGGAGCCAGGCATAAAGAAAGATAAAGCTACAAGAAAAATGGCATCTGGAGCTCCCTCCATTTCACATCCACACACATCCAGGGACAACAGCGCCCCTTCCAGCAACAGCCTTCTCCCCAAACTTCTCAACATACCACTTCCGTCCCCAGCGCGCATGGGGTAACATATTCGTGATCGCATTTGCAACGAATATCACAGCAGGCAAAGGTAGCGGCACAGCGAGCTTACCAGCCGCCCACGCAGCAGGCACCAACCAAGGTGCAAGACGCAGCGGGGGAGTGATGGCCACGGAAGATGAGGCAGCGGCAGGGAGGGCGGAGAATGGGGCAACCGCCGTACCAACGAGAGCGAACCCAATCCATTCGAGCCACTCGAAGACGTAGTGCGGATACAAGATGTATCGGAAGACACCACTGGCAGGTGGGATGACGTAGACCTTGTGGAACTTGTTGCGGTTGCCCCGTGCTTCGCCTCCGGCCAATGTTTCATCATCTGTCTTTTTGGCAGCACACCTTCCGGCTTCTTCGCGACGAAGCCGGAATAGTGTTGTCTCTGAGTAAATGTTGCCAGCCATTCCGATGGCAAACAAGATCAAGCCCACGATGGGGAGGATATCTACCACCGCAGGGCGGGGAGATGGACTTCCGCTACTGGTTGCGTGGAAGCTTGGAATGGTCGGCACAGTATATCCACGCAACCAGCCGGCCAGACAGGCTGAATTGAACCAATTGAAGAGCATGGCGAAGGACATGATGGCGGCATGGATTGGGGACATACTGGGGGCGGAGAAGAAAGGGGAGATGATGGCGCGGTTGAAATAATGAGTGCAGTACAGAGTCACAACAAGGATGTTGGACATGGGGAGATCAGTGAATGACGGTGCATATGGCGATGGGGTGACCATGCTATATATCAAGTTGATAGGACCGACAAGCTCCATGGCAGACCAGGCGATACGTCCTGGGATGTTGAAGATGGACTGCGAGGATGTTTTTCCTGCTGGGTGCCAGGACAATATCCATTGAATTACCGTGATCTAAATGCACCGAGTTAGTCTTGTCACATCCTCTAGGGTTTCAGGGTCCTGACCAGGGGGAAGTATTGGAAGCCGCATATAATAGGGTTATATGTAGCTGGGCTTGGAGGGAAGAGCTCTGCAGTGAAGGGCATAGCTCCCCAACAGGTGGATATAGTCGCACCCATAATGAGAGTTGAAAAGAGGAAGATTGAAGATCGCGGAGGATAAACAAGAAGCTTAAAAGCTTGGGAGGTGGAAGGCGGTGGGTCCCGGATAAGGAGTTACACTTGACCTCTTCTCCTTTCTTGATCAGGACAAATTTGGCGAAATCGTGTGTGAATTGTCAAATTTAAGACTACTTCAAATCTGGGAGAATCTAGAAAGGTCGTGCAAACGAAACCCCTACAATTACAATGGGGTGAGACAGGAGAAAATTACACAGATCAAGCAAGTTGGCGACAGGACTAGGTTCGTTTGATTCTCTACTCAACAGACAGTTACACTTGTAAATAACCCAGAGCATAGTTCCACATAAACGGAGTGTAGCATTTTGTCCCGTGAACGCTAATGTAAATGCCCCTAAACAAGCAAGCTTGTAAATTTGATCATAAAAAGCCCCGGCTCCTTTAATTCGACATGTCCATCTGGTTCTGATCATGTACCATTTCTCTCCGTTTGCCAGCCAATTTCTCTGTCTTGAATGCCTCGATCTTGGCCTTAAGGTCGGTGTCTAGAAAAAGCCGGTTAATATTAGGAACAACATCTGGGAAATCAGATTGCTTACCAGGCAACACATCTTCCATCTTCAATGGGACACGGTTGAATGGATCATGGGGGTCACTGAGGAGATGCGAGCGAATTGTGGCGCGGTCAATGGAGATCCGTGAGCCGGGAAGGATGACTGGGTCATCCATGAGTGAATACATAAGAGGATCTAAAAGATTAGTAGCTGTCAAAAAGCGGTGTCAGATAACGGGGACATACCGAGGAACTCTTCAGGGATCTCGCCCATGTCTTCCTCCGCTTGATCATCGGCCTCCTTGGCAGCCTGGACCTTCTTCTGCAGTTGACTCCAGTGACGGAGCTGCTCAGGGGATTTCAGTGACCACTTTCGGATGATGTCAGCCGCCTTCTCGAAATTGGCTGGCTTGTAGGATCGGCCATCACGGGCAACAGCCAAGATAAAGTTCTCCTTGTTGATCAGGTTAAGGTAGACGTCAACAATCTCACTTAGAAGAGCGCGGGGGTTGAAGCCATATTCTTGCAGATTATCCACTCGGAGGTTAGAGCTCTTAGGTCCCACCATTGCATCGAGGTTGTAGTCCAGCATGTCTGCGAGTCGCTGCACAATTTCAGGCATTGTGAACGAATCAGCCAGCGCCTCGGTGAATAGTTTAAGCATTGCCACGGTTTGATTAGTCAGTTGCATGTAACTTTTGGCGCTGCGCTGTGCTGATGACAGATGCTCTTCCCGCTGCTGGCGGGTTGCGGCATCCATTGAGTGACCCTGTGTATTCAGCTCGGTCTGAGTGCTGTGGATAGTCTTGAAAGCACCAAAGGATTCATCAAGTACGTAAGTCACATCGTTCAGCAAGAGATTGACAAATCGGACGAAGAAGTCTAAGTTTTGGTTGGCTTGAAGGGACAACTTCTCCCGATACAGAGAATTAGGCCAGATGCATTTGATGATCTGGAAAATCTCGTAACGAATGTTGAACTTGTCGTAGAATTGGGAATGTGTTCCCGTGAACTCTGCCTCAATGTAGAATTTCATGATCGCATGGAGGAGATGCTCGTTGGCAAATGGCATTGAGTTGAGCAGGTCGACCAAAACACCACTGGCGCCACCAGGGCGTTTCCAGGTGCCTCGGAACAGAATGGAAATCAATCCAGCCTTCAGGTAGGGGTTCTTAATATAGGCGGAGCTCTCCAGGAATGTGATGCACAGCATTACCAACTCATCGCCCTGGGTGGCGGTAATGATCTGTGGCATGCACCACATGATAAACTTGAAGTTGCTGACAACGTCCTCCAAGAAGTACTCTGGTAGACATTTGAAGACTTCGGGCTGCTCCTCTGGAAGAGGAAGGGTAACCTGCTCCTTGGGGAAGTTCTTTCCCGAGACAAGTCTCAGAAGCCACACGGTAACATACCGCATGAATAGCATGGAACGAGCCTGCCATTGCTCGTCGAACAACACACCCTGCAGACTGTACTTGAGGGCAATACCCAGGTCGAGCTTGTCTTTGTACTTCTTCAGGGCTGTATCGAAGGTGCGCAATTGCACTGGATTGTTGAGCCAGCGCACCCGCTCCAGTTCGAATTTAGTGATTGTACTCTCCATCTGTCGCACGTCTTTCTCAAGTTGCTCCATCTTTGACGTCAATGATTCGCTACCATAGTGGTGCGCGGCGACCGTCAGGAAAAAGATTTCGGTGATAAAGTTTGAGGTTCCTTCGGCCTTCTTAGAATAGAAAGCGTCGGAAGCATGCTGATCAGCATTGATCTTGGTTTCATCCCGCATGTCAACACGAGAGTTGCGATGCAGATAATCTGCATCAATTCTGTCAATCTTGGTGAATGCTGCATCCATGAAGGGCTCACAAAGCTGGTCGAGGCACGTTGTGATATTAAACATGAAGCCGTCAGACGATACTTGTTCAGGGTCGACCTGCATCGCCCGTCGTTTGTGATTGATGTTCATAGCAGTAGCGAACCAATCCAAAACACGATCCCGAGCCTCTTTCGAGGCCCGGATCAGGTGGTTGACAACATCCAGGAGATCAGAGCTAAGCATCTGCTGTGTCATTCGAAGTGATCGCTGGGCGTTGGAAATGTATGCCTGGTCCCGGGTCTTGGGGCTAGAGAAATAAGACAAGGTGACATTAGCTTGAAGGGGTGAGAGGCGGAACCATGGACCCAAAAGAGTGGCTTTCTCGAATTGAGCAGGATCCTTCGAGTTATTGAAAATGGAAGATTCTGTGATTGCAGCCGCAATGGAACCGTTGCGAACAAGATTTCGAAGAGCCTGAACAAACTGGTCAGACGTGGTCCAGGGGAATTGTGACGTTTGACTTACAATGGCGTAGGGCTTGTAGTCATCGTTAACGTCCATAGAAGAAAGCTGCGCGCTCAACTGCTCGACGGCAGATATGAAGGCAGGCTTGACGGAGTCATCTTCGTCAAATCTCCGGACGGCCTCGTTAATAAAGTCGAAATCAATTCCTTTATCATCCTCAGGGTCGATGAGAAGGTACGAGGCTAACGATGATTGCGGGGACCATTCGCTTCTATAGTCCGAAGAGTCAGTATCCAGTATCAGTGGAGTGACAACCCATCAAAACGCACCCAAACATCTCTGGCATCGTAATTGCAAAGATACAATAGCTCATGCACAGGCGGCGTGCCTCACACAGAACCTGATACTTCGGATCATCATCTCCCGTCCGCCTCAATCCCTTGTACACCTTTGTGATGCGCTTCCAGCATGGCAGCAGATAATCAAGGGGACGCTGTCTCTCGGTGTTTGACGCAGCCTCTAGGAGAGCTTGGTCTAGAACTGCGACCTGGATGCGCAGCTCCTGGCCCTCATCCTGCAGTTCACTCCGAAGTCCGGGCAAGTATGTGCGCATGCCATGAATATCACGCTGTCCTTCTTCCTTGAGGGTCACTCTGAACACAGCACTTAGTGTCCTGTCTTCGAAGGCCTCAATGCTTTCGATTTTCTGTGGCGGAGGGGTGCTCGGGGCAGAGGGAGCGGCGGATCGTGGTCGCTCTGGTGTAGCTGTGGCTGGTGTGATCTTGATCCGCTTCCCTTCTGACTGCTGCGGGGTTGGTGGCGCATTGAACAGACGGCTCGGTGGCTGCGTAGACAGTGGTGAATGTGATGGAGATGTGTTGGCTGAGCTCTGCGCAGATTCCGAGTTGCTGTCCACTGGGGATTGAGCTGGGTTTGAGAGTTTTGCAAGTCGCTTGTTGCGAATCTTTTTTTTATCGAGAACAGATGTTAGTCCTCTAGTTACTGCGGGGGAGGGATGGCTTCATAATTTAAGCACAACAAGCGACTGACCTTGTCCGCGTCGGAAAGAGTGTCCGACATATTAGCTGAAAGTCAGACAGTAAGCCGCTTTCAAAGGGTTGGCAGGACCGCTAATCTGGTGGATCGGGTCGGCAGAATATCAATATTGTGACCGTGTGGGAATCATAAGGGAGACGTGAAAGCGGAATCACACCAAAGCCTCGAAGTGGGGGCAACGGAGTCTAGAATCCGCGGAAGATGTACGTCGCAAGATGAACACTTGTTTCCGTGATGATCGCCGAGATTCGCTTTTGTTCTGATTCGAGATTCAGCGCCGTGATCAATTTTGACTAAGCAAATCTCGTCTTCCACGGTTACTGGTGAGATGCGGGATACAAGGAAGGTACTTCTGAATTGGCGGGGACCACCCGCGTAAAACGATGTACCCATAAAGTCACTTTTTACTATGTACTATTGTGAATAGAACATAGATTCATTATACTATGGATACACTCTCTTGCATGTTGGAATATTAGATAATTTGGTATCAATAAGCCAAGCCTTCTTTATGTACTTCATATTTATGGCCACAACCTCGATGAATATTAGTGGCATGCGATATATCTTCACGTACATACATTCTATCTCACATCAGGACATATCAGAAATGAAAACCAAAGATCCCAATTAACCTTCGCGTGAACCAAGATGACAAAGCCAGCAAGATCTCAGATGCATTCGAAACTCTAGGAAAAAGAAAAAAATGTACAACCAATGAACTGAAACTCCCATTGACGCCACCTTGAGGATGGGCTAATGATATTAGAGTAAGTTCTTTTGGGAAAAGAACCCACAAAGGAACAAGATGCCATAAGAAGGTGCAGTGTACGCTCCCAAAGTCAGCAGTGTATTTAAAATCTCCTCGTCTTCAGTTGGTCCAGACGCCGACAGCTCGGCATCTCCATCGCGCGAGCCTTCTTCATCTTCTCAACATCAGGGAAGAGCCACCCCTGCGCGTCCTGCAACCTCCGTTCCCGCTCATGGGCTTCAGCGTCACATTCATTCCGCAGTGTCCTGACGTATTCCACTTCCACGCGCGAGTCTAGCTCCCGGAAATTCTTGGCACTAAAGTTATCCACATCGAGGGGGTTCACAAAGTAATTGAGATTGAGCTTCGGGGTCATGCGGCCTAGGGTATGCGGGGAGACGGGGGTATCAAATCGATAAGAGGGCCCGGATGGGGTTGAGGAACCAGAGAATAGAGAGGAGAGGAGCGGCAAGATGAACAGAAGAATAAGCGGCAATAGCTGGCGAAGGAAACTGCGGCCATCAACCTGAGCTTCCGGCTCAGTGGCTGCTGCACGAGGCCGGCGGCGGGGTGTCTGGCCTCCAAATTGATGCACTCGGAACCCGGGGCCACCTCCCATGTTGAAGACGAATTGCGGACCACCTATAATAGTACACAGTTAGTTTAGGTCAAAGCAGATATCAGAGGAAGGCATAGTCGTACCGAATCCACCACCGCCCATTCCACCAAATCCACCGTTGAAGAACCGGTTGAACATCTCCTCGGCTGAGACCTCCTCGTCGAATCTTTGACCTCCACGGGGGAATCCACCACCGCCGAAACCACCGAAGGGGGATGCGCCACTTGAAGCGCTCGGTCCGGGCTGGGACCTGCTATCAGGATCGCCGCCAAATCTGTCGTACTTGGACTTCTTTTCCTCATCAGAGAGGATCTGGAAAGCCCGCGAGACCACTGTCACCACAAGTAAGAATCAATATGTCAAGAGGTGGCCCAAGGGTTGATCATTGCTCACTCTTGAACGCCTCATCGGCGCCTTCGTACCCGTTCTTATCAGGATGCGTCAACAAACTCTGTTTCCGGTACGCCTTCTTAATCTCATTGTCCGTTGACGAGCGCTCTACTAGCAGAATCTCGTAAAATGCGGTAGGTTGACATTTTCGAATCCGAAGTACAGCGGCCTTCTGGTCTTCGGTGTACTTGCGATCCTGGTTGCCCTGTTTATGGTCGCGCGACGTCGCACCTCCGCGTTTGGCGTCTGAGCCCGATGCCGAAGCCGAGGGCATACCGAACGTGATTTATGGGGAAAATTGGACAGATTCTGAACGGCGCTTGCTTGCTGTAAGAGGGAAGAGGGGGTTGAGGGAATTTGGAGGGCGCAGGGTGGCGTGGGAGCGCGGATAAAGGTGAACCGATCCCGCACGAAATATGGCTGGGCTGGCAGATTAATCAAACGTGTGATCAGGTATCCGAAGTAAAATATCGGCCTGGTGAAGATGCAGCGGGATCAGAGCGACAGATGTGGCTGATTCGGTGGGCATAAATTGGGGAAAAAGCGTGGTCTTAGGTGTCTTTGCCAAGCACCGGAACGTCGATTACACTCCGGGCTGAACATTGCGATAACATCACTTGCCGAACTGATAAACCTGCCAACTTCTCCAAGTGTGTGATATCCAATTGTGAGTTGTGTTCAACAAGGTTCCATTTAAGCACGGTCTTATTGATATACCTGCAGCGAAGCAATTCTTGGCTGTCAAAGCTCCAACCTTCCGTTTTCATCACACAAGTCCAGCTTCCAAGCTCAATACCTCATCATGGCGGCGGACGATTCAGTTGTCGAAGAGACCAAGCAGACGGTAATCCAGCGCTTCCGGGCATGGGGTGGTAAGTGGCCTCTGAATCTGGCTTTATCGTCCAACTCTCGAGACAAGCAATGCCGCCAGTGATCACTCACTAATGACGTTTCTCAACGCAGAAAACTCATTCCCACCCACGCTGCTCGCCTCCCTGATCACAGCCCAGCACATGCGCCCCTTCCAGTTTTTTCCGATGCTCTTCCCGCCTGTGCTGATCTTCTCCAGCTATGCCAACCTGCAGGGCTTCAAGACGGACACTGCCGGCATCAGCGCGGCCTTCTCGGGGTTGTACCTGCTTCTCGCAGCTCGCCGTAGACAGCCAATCATGAAGAAGCTAGGCGTTCGGGGCGTCGTGCGCGGTGCGACTATGGGTTTGGCTTTGGTCAACATGATCGGTGGTGGGTTGGCGTACACTCTAGGTAAGAGGGAGGAGGAAGAGGATGCGTCATGATTGAGGTGACAGCCCATAAGGATGCAAAAATCGCGCTACCGCATTGGTATCGCGCTCTGTCATGTACCATATGCCTTATCAAAAGTGGCTTAGTTGTGCGTTTGGATGGTGAGGGATTTCAGGCCTCGGAGTCGGTGGGCATGGATTTGTTTATGAAATTATTCATGCATTATCATTATACAGGTTGGAGATAGACTGTAGGAGTCTTCCAGTAGCTACTCCGTGTAAGCACATATCTACACTTTAGAATCTCCAGAATACGGCCGTTCTGATAACACAAACTGCCGCACCTGTTCGGGAACCAGCCAATCCAGGTCCTGGGGAGCGCATTTCAACGCCTCTCGGGCTCTAGTTGAACTCACAGGCCGGTCCGTAGAAGCACGACCATTGACGAGCTGGATCCGCTCAGCCCATTCCCTACGCCCGCCCTCGCCATCTCGATCACCTCTAGCAAGGGCCGCCACATATTCGAGCTGCTCCTCTCTCCCGCCCCACTCATCGCTCGGCCGCATAGTCACACGCAGCCGGTGCTTTGACAAAAAAGGCTCCAAAGGTTTCAGGGTATGGTCGGGCGGATAGTATTTAGAATCGAAGATCCGGATCAAAGTATCGTATCCCGTAAGATGGACCTGCTCCAGCGCCACGGGGTAAGAATCCGATGCCTCGATAGCAGCCGCCTTGTCGACGAAATAGGGCTTTTTCGTGACGCCGATATCGATCAAAGGGAGAGTTTCGATGCCGTGCGTGAAGCCTGAGCCGGCGAAGGCCGGTGATGATGCGAGGTGAGCGCGGAGATCCCGCGCGAACAGCTCCATCATCACGAGCCGATCTTCGAAGGAAGCTGGCTTGGATGGCTTGTCTGCATTCTGGGTGGCGAGAAGAAGAAGCAGACGAGGGCGGGGCTTGGGGTTTTCTAAAAGTGCCGTGCTGGCAATGCGGAGGTGGGCGCGGGTGGGGGGGTTGAAGGACGAGTCTAAGACATAGAGGGTCTCTGATTCTGCGGAGTGGTCGGGTGGGATGGTTGTTAGGACCTCGAAGTCTTTGGTCGATGTTAGAAACCGCTTCAATAGTGAGGCATATTGTGTTCGGAGGGCTTGAAACGAGGACATGTCAATTGCTTCAGTGTCATGCATGCGCTCTACAAAGTTCCAACCTTGCAAGGTTCCAAGGTTGTGATGCGGCCCGTGTTATCCGATAAGATATGTCGTCACCGCCTTCGATATGGTCCCGGGATCAGCATTCCAAGATTGAATATTCCCAGACTCCAGCATTCACCATGGTTCACAGAATTAAGATCCGCGCAATTACTAGCAATGCCTTGCAATTCATACTAGGAATTTGGGGGTGCTGAGGGGCAGTGACAGGGGCAGTGACAGGGGAAATTGAAATTTCGAGCGGGATGTTTCATCTTGAAAAGCTTCTCCGTGTCAGGACTACTACCAGATAGGAGAGTCTCTATGGGATATAACTCAACTTCTACCAATTTTCGTGTTAGTCATGATACCAAACCCTTGAGTACTCCGTACAGGCTTTCGAATAGCGCAAATCTCGCTTCAGCGGGAAATGACACTATCACCTAGGCAAACGATAGACCGAAGTCCAAGGGCCGTGCTTGGCCTAGGCCGCCTTTATCAATTCACTCGATACACCCGTGGACCAATTTTTTTTATATATACCCCACTCCGTATAGACGGCATCTAGAGTGAATTGTGTACATCTTCATTTTTATAATGAAATAAGCACATATACTGGCCCGTGGAGTCCAAAATGCCCATCTTTATTTTTTGAAAAGTAATCTATATCCCGAGAAGTGGGCGAAGCGGGGACTAGGACACGGGTGCCTGGTTTATATGAAACCTTTTCGGGGTATTCGTATTATTACAGCCGAGTCGGGGGCTTGACATTTTAAAATTTCCTGATCCTTCCCGAAAGCCCCGGGGATCTGGCCGTATCTGTCTCTTCAATGATCGTCTAGATTTTCAGCCTGTGTTTCCCTATTGGCATCTAGGTACGGAGTACGGAGTACATGCAAAGTAGAGCCTGTAGTGGATTTTCTCAAACACTTCCCGAATATTGTCCCACGTTCATGTCCGTGCCCTAAAAAGCCGTTTGGCGACATACACATTCGATGGTCTGATAGCCCCTATTAAGCCAAAAGATAGGGGACATGTCAGTGACGCCACCGACGCCACATCACATCAATCTAGAGAAAGAGGCTCCCATTTCACCAATATCATATACCCTAGGTTTTTCGTGAGATTAAAGGTCACTGCCTCACGCCATGGGCTTTGGTTAAATTTCAATCCAATCAGATTCCCGTGCCTGAGACGGTGGATCCTCCATAGATTCGATCCACCGTGTATTACATTTGATATTTTGATTATACTCCGTAAGTAGAGAGAGATATAATATTAAATTAAAAAAAAAAAAGGGTAATTTAATTTCAAGAGATTAAGGAAATTAAGGAAATGAGTTAATTAGCTTGGTATCCATCTTTTTCTTTCCCTCAAAGCTATCTTGACTTCTTCTTCTTTCCTTCTCTGTGAGAAGCCATACGTTCCTTCCCTGCGAATTGATTTCGCACTTGCTCTGTCGCTCTTTCCAACCACACTCACTTTAAAAAACACACTCTCGCTAACTCTGCTCCATTCTTGCTCTCTCATCCCATTCTCACTTTCAATTCTTGATATCCACCGTCGTTACCAATAACTTCATCATGGTTGTCTTGAACAAGTTCTCCGTTGTCCTTGTGGCCGCTCTGGCCGCTGTGGGTCAGGCCTCTCACGAGGGTCTTCACGCTCGTCGTGTCCACGTTCGCTCCGTTCAACCTACTGCCGGGGCTTCCACCTCGACCGTCCTCGTTGTGCCCACCCCTGTTGAGCCGGCTCCTACGACTACTTCGTCTTCATCTTCTGCTCCTGCTCAGCAGACCACCGTGCAGTCTTCTTCTGCTCTTTCGGTGGCTTCCAGCTCCACTTCCGTTGCTTCTTCTTCGGTCGTGTCTTCCACCCCTGGTGCGAGCTCCTCCGCTCCTGTTGGATCTTCCAGCAAGCCTGTCGCTTCTTCCAGCAAGCCTGTGGTCACCCGCACTCCCGTCAGCGCTCGCCCTACTGGTCGTCCCACCAAGTCCTCTTCCGGCGTCAGCTCTGTGTCTGCTCCCACTGGCACTGAGGTCCCTACCACCAGCGCCGTGACTTTGACTTACACTGTGAGCTCTGGAACTTCCACCAGCGTCATCACCACCACCATCTACAAGACCGCCACTGATCAGCTCACCGTCACTGCCGTATGTGCTATATCAGACATCCTATGCTCTGTACATTCTGAACTAACTTTGATATAGACTCAGTCTAGCGCTGATGCCTCGGCCACCAAGCCCGTTGAGGATACCACCAACACTCACACCTCTACTATCAAGGCCACTAAGACTGAGACTGTCACTCTCATTGAGGTTCCCACCCCCTCCAGTGGATCTGGCTCTGGCAACGAGTCCGGTGCTTGCAGTGCCGTTACTGTTACTGCTACCGTCACTGAGACTGTGACTGCTGTATGTCCTTCTCATTCCCTAACTGGCATGTTAAAAATTAACGTTTTTTTCTCTAGGGCGCACAGAGCAGCTCCGCTGAGACCACCTCCGTTGCGACCACCTCTGCCCAGACCACTGCCGCTGAGACCACCGCTGTTTCCAACTCCGAGACCGCCGCGGAATCTTCCACCCGCACTCCCATCGGCTCCACTCGCATTCCCCTCACCCGCACTCCTTCGTCCAGCGGTTTCGCTACCCGGACTCCTTCCGCTAGCGCCAGCGCCAGCGTGACGCCTACCCCCGCCTCCAGCGGCCAGGCCTCGTCCAGCAGCACCCCCACTGGCAAGGCTTTCTTGTCCAACTGGCGCCGCCGCTTCATCTAAACACACTGCTAATGTGACGGGAGTCTCCACCTCCACCTAGCAACGAGTTGCGAAGCCGTTGATGATCTGAGAGAAAGTTCCGATTCCCTTCTACTCGCGCAGAGGCGTGCTGGTACTGTACCTATTTTTTTTGCCAAGTTTCGGTACAAACGGTTTCGATTTCACTTCTTATCTACGCTCCATTTTTTGCCATGTTTCTTCTTTTCGACTTCTATTCTTGCAATGGTCTTGTCGTGCTGGATTGTTCTTTGGGCCCAAGCTTTCCCTGCCTGCTTGCTACGTTTTGCAGGCGAACTTCAATACTGGACCGCGGCCCCCAATCTTCGAACTCTTTCTGGCGTGACATTTCCTTGCGTTACCTTTTTACTCCCAATGTGAAATTGATCCATTCATACGACCGGTTTCCATTGGACTCGGAACATTATCTCACGTATCGTTTTGACGGGTGGTGACACGTCTACTTTGAGGACTGGATCTTGCCTCTTATCTATTGTGTTTTGAAGGGAAAATTCATCTTCTTTAATCTTTACAGATCTTCATTTTGCGAATGATCTCATAGTTTGCGCTGTTTTTCGTCTTCATGTTTCTCATTCTATGTGGGAGGCCGATGGTGGTGAGCAACATCGGCATCCTTAGGAAAGAACCTGAATGGACTAGAGGCTTTGCCTTTTTACAAATAAATCCCCCTTGTAGGATGAGTAGAAATAGAGTGTATGAGACTCCACCTGGGCATCCTAGGGGAGATAAAGTAACGCTTGGCCCATGTCGATCAATGTTGATCTTATAGGGCTGATTAGGAACAACATATGTAGATTGACACCTAAGTGGGCATATAGTTTAGTAAAACTTTGGCCTGATGTCTCGTGTTATTTTATCCACTCCGGAATATTGATTCATGTACATCAAGTAGGATACATATAATATACATGTTTCGAACACTCAAGTTCATCACCAGAGGTGCTCGGAGTATCCATCACCCATCATATCTAGTCTGACTCTCAGAATGAATGATATCTACTACAGTATCGAATCTAACGCTCCAACCCCTTCCTTGGCAACCCGCTCCCGCATAATCTGCCATTCAACCCAGGTCACACCCTGTAATAAACAATCCGCTAGATCATCGAGTTTCTTCGGATCAACCGCAACCACCTCGTCCCCTATATCAGACTGAGGGGATATGGGGGATGGAGAGCGAGACCCCTTCCCTCTCCCCTTCTTTGTCTGCGTCTGACCCTGCCATTTCCGCATATACGCACCCGCAACACCATGCAGAGCAGGAGACACAGATTTATCAGCCAGCACGATCTTATTGTCGGCAGCAATACCCAGCTCTAGTTTCTTAGGACCGTCGTCCGTGTCTGGACAAGCATTGGTATCCTGCATCGCAGCAGAAAGCCACCGTCCAACAATATCGATCTTAGCCTTCTTCACTTCTCGCGCATTGGGTTTCTTCTCTTTCGTCTTTCCCCCGACTTCTGATTTTTCACCCACCTTCCCTTTCCCGGGAACCGATGACCCAGAACCACCCTCAAGCCAATACCTGACTACCCGGCTCGGCTCAACACCTCGAACAATCAAATCGGCAACATCCCCGCCCCTCTCCTGCCGTAGGGTGTGGAGAACAGCATACAACATGCCCTCCATAATGCCAACGCGAAGCGTCCATTCAAGAACGGCACTCCCGCCACCTGAGCGGAAGCGCTGACGCTCTATGAGCACGTGCGTGGGGCGGTAGGCAGCTATAAGTGATGTGATTAGGGTGTATGCATTTGCAGCGTAGATGTCTGGGCAGTATAAATTTTCTTCTTTTGCAGATTTGGCGATCTTGACGGGGATGTCTTTTTCTGATTTTATTGGGAGGATGGCTTGTGATGATTCTGTGGCGTCTTCAGACCCTGATATTGATACAGCGGGCTTGACTAAACCGGTATTATCCCCGGGTATTAGATTCAAACTTGATATCTCAGAAATGGCGACTCGGTGCCAGGCTGTTAACACCGGCGCTCGGGGATGTGCTGTATCTATCCCGACACCCGGGGAATCAGGGCGGGGCACGAGCAGATGCGCGAATGCGAGGTTCTGAATCCCCATATCGATGCTGAGGATGCTCCATGGTTGTTTTGCGGGGTTTGATTTTGACAAGTCCACTGACTTGGTCTTTGTCTTTGCCTTGCTTGCGCGACTTTTCGTCAACACCGATCGCCGATCAATCTCTCGATCTGGGCTTATGCTGGTGCTGTCACTAGCAGTGGTACTGTGATTGGGAATACTAGTGACACCCTCTGCAACACCATCCGCGGCAGCCGACAACTGCAACTCCAACTGCGCCTGTGACTGTGAATGCAACGTCAACTCTGCTGCAATGCGCTCAATAAGCACACCCTTCGTACCAGACGATTGGATGCCTGTTGCGCGTGCGATGCGCTGCAATTGTGCTGATTTCAAGCATGCGAGCCAAGGGGTTGGGGAGTACAGTGCTGCAGAGAGACGCATTGGGTGTGTTTCTGCCAAGGGTATTGAGATCTGGGCTTTCCGGTATAGGCATAAATTTCGGATCGGAAGACCTGTAACGGCAAGTTTAGGCTGGATGCATATGGACATGGGATTCTTCAAGGTGGATCGGTGCACGGACCCCTTTTGGACGTTCGCGGCTACCTGGAATTTACTTTGATTTGTTTCTGAGGTTGAAGTTATAGAGTATAGTGTCAATGTCATTTTGTACCTCTACTTCAATAGATATTATATGCGCCTTCTATTTCCCAGATCCCTTGAAAACACCTGGAATAAAACTCCCCCCAATAGGCAGCAAATGCAAGGCGCTGAAAAGCAAGTCAAACAAAACACTTGGACAGCAAAGTAGTAAACAATAACCAACACCAGAAGTCCAAAAAGCAAAAGTAGATAGCAAAAAGAGCAAATTATACCAAGGACACCTGCTCAAGCTCCGCAATTGCAATCTCATCTCGGAGATACAACAACGGAGCCCAAACACGCCAGTGCAGCACACCCATATGAGCAAGACGCATCCCAATACGCTCAATATCCGACTGCTGCGGCGTTAGAGCCAGCGACGAAGTATTCACCGACCCAGACGCACCTGCAGTCCCAGTCTGCGGCGCAGCAGGACCAACAGCGGCAGACAATGGAACCCGCTGCGACTCACAGATCGCCAATGGCGACAGTGGCAAGTATCTACGAGCCGCCGCCAGCGTGGTAGCAAGGATCTTGCTACGCATGCTATTTTGGAAGAAAACGAAGAGCTCAGATTCATTCGAGAGATGCCACTCGAGGGCTTCCTCGATAGGGACAATGACCTCGTCCGCGACAACAGGGTCAAGTTGCAGCGCGGCACAGGCAAAGCGGGCAATCTCCAGCGCGATACACCGCATATTTTGTGTCCAGCGCTTTCCGCCGCGGTGATCTGGATCGTCGTCGTTGTTTTCTGGATTCCCTGCAACGCGGTTTTCCAGGTCCATGCCGTCTTCCATTAGGGACCAGATGCGGGACCGGAAGGTGGAGTAGGTTTCCTCTGGGGTGGAGAGGTACCGCTTGTGCTTGTTGACGTAAGACTCGAAGATATACCAGGCGATGTCGAGGTTGATTAGGTTTTGGACTGTTGAGCGAAGTTGCCAGAGGCGCTCGGAGTCGAAGAGGAAGGTTTCGGGGAAGTCGGCGGGCGGGGTGAATTGGAGGAGTTGGGAGGAGATTCCGCGGAACAGAGCTTCGAGGGGCTTAAGGGTCTCTTCTGTTTCTGGGGTTGAGGTTGTTTTTTGGGCTTCTGCGTTTGCATCGTCTAGACGGGCTTGCTCGCGCACTGAGAGATACCAGTGGCGAGCGGGCTCAACCTGGAAGCTCCCGCGGTTCATTTTGCCTTGGAAGTATTCTTGGAGGAAGGGGACTGTGTCTTCGATGAGAAGAACACGGAATGCTCGAATCTGATGGTTGGCGACGTCCTATAAAGACACGAATTAGTTCGGAAAGTTGTGAGATCAGACGAGTTTAAATTTTGACATACCAGCTTCATCGCCTCTAGAATGGAGAACAATGTTCGTAGACCATTGACAATTTCTCGAGGATCCTGAGATTGTGACCCCTTTTGGATTTGCTCGACCATAGAGTCAGCCCACTCGTCTCGCATCGGAGCACAATGCGTTTTCAGGAGCTTCGCCAGCCATTTCGCGAGCGTAAGCATGTCGAGAACGCCTTTGCGTATTTGCTGCATGAGCAATGGAACTTCCAGATTCTGCATGATGGTTGGGTGATCCCGTTCTGGAACAAGAGTCTTGATGACGTCCTGCAATGTCTCGAACAGGGCGGGCAAACGGGGATCGAAGGTGCGTCGAGCACCATCACTCGACTCGACTTGCTCGGTGGTGGCATCGGCAGTGGCGGCATGGAAAGAGTAGATTGTAATCTCCACGGCCAATGAGTCCCAGTAATCCGCAGCTTCTTTGCGCTTGCGTTGGCCCTTCTCCCCGTCGAGGTCAGGCTTGAAGTGCAGGTCGCGGTCGAAGTTGGCGTCCATGCGGAGGTTGATGTTGCTCATGATACAGGGCAGATCAAGCTCGCTGAGCGTTTTCTTCGTAACCGGCGGGGATCTCCTAGCCTTGCGCAATAAGCGCTGATCGCGGGAACCTAGTCCCAGATCTTGGGGTATACTGATAGCCTCCGGTGATGGGGAGGGCTCTCGAAGCCGAGAGACAACGGCCGGTACCGGGGATGCGGTTTGTCGAGCTCCATGGGGATAGGCGAAGGGCGGTTGGCGGCGACGGAGGGGATGAATGGAAGTTCGGTCATCATGATTGTGTGAATCTCGCCCCTCATTCTTGTGATACTCTTTAGAACGACCACCTCCAGCACCATACGCCTCTAGAGGGCCTTCGGCGCCCTCCTCTTGCGGCCGGGCTTCTTTTGTGCCTTGTAGATCCATCGCTAAGCACGATATATCTGAACCTCCCCCTACTCAGACAGTCAGATAAATGGAAGATTTTGGGGGTGGCAATGGCGAGACCACGCCATGCACCTAAGCACAGAATAAGGCGAATACGCCCCCTATGCAACTCCCACACTCACAAGATTTAATAGCCCCTGTTTGCCTCAGGCAGGCAGCCAATCCGCACTCACCGAAAAGTGATGCAAGTGAGCTGTCAATTCCTGTGGAGCCGAGGATTGCTTGGATCTGCGTCGATCGCCTCGTGGTCCCGATCAGGGGTCCAAGGATAGGGAGAGGATAAAAAAGGGGTGGAAATTAGATTATTTGAAACAAAAGATGTATAAGAGTCCAAATAAAAGGGAATATAATCTTTCAAAACAAAGAGTTGTGTAATAGGAAGAGAGTGAGAGTATGAAACGTCTCTCAAAGCATAAACCTGGGAATTGCAGTGTATACTCTCAGAGCAAACAAGTCCAAATGTCGAGAAGTGCAATGCAGGATAAATCGACAAATCAAAGAGCTCAAAAAAAGAAAAGAAAGAAAAGGAGTTGGCAAAGCGACCGGGATGAATATAGTGAGTGTATCCCAGATCTACACACCGGATTCGGGTGGACGCAACCAGACATTCCTATGCTGCTACCCGCGAGCAGACTCCCCTCGACTTGGGATATCTCGACATTGTCACATCTTTCCATTTCCGATTTTAATGCATATCTGCATTTGATGTGCCAAAAAAGGGGGGGTATTCGCCTCACTTTGAACCTTGAAACCAGCACTGGCCACGTGAGTATGAGTCTCCTTTTCTCGGGGAACCACTGGATGCAGTCGGTTTGTGCATTACCAGGTACATTCGTATGTACTCCGTACACTCTAGGACACTTGGCAAGTGTTCACAGAGTATCGAGGAGAGATGAAGCAGGGCCCCTCTCGTCGGGATCGGAATGTTTTCGGTTCGGCGTGCCTTATTGCCTTTATGCCTTGGCGCCTTTGTGCCTGGATATATTTATGCCTGATAAACTAGGCCTCATATTTCTAAGACAACCCTAACCTATACTTCACCTACTTCACCATTAACTCCCACCAATTGATCTTCGCGTTCAGCTCGGATATGAATAAGATTACTGTGATTCAGGAGGCATCGTCTGCTTATACATGGATATGAGTCCGGCCAAGCTCCCAAATCCACTGGCCATGTCTTTGACCCCAATACCCCCGCGGGTCTTATTGACACCCAAATCTGGCTCAACAACCGCCCGCTGAATAGGCCAATAGCCACCACCATGTCTAGAAAGAAAGAGATAAAAAGGAAACATGATTTCCACGTGGAATAATATCTACATGAGCATCCTGGATTTTTATTACGCAGTACTACAGACACAAGTTTGAAGGTTATCATAGCTGTGCAAAGCACGGCGAGTTCCAGTCATGAATATCTCAGCGCTGCTTTACTTCTTTCATGTTCTATGGGCAGTTCCTGGGTTTGTACTTTCGCGAGGAATTGGCTCATACAATACTTCACGGTTTGAAGTACATACCTTGCCGGGCGTTTCGGACCTGCCACCTAGTTGGGCTGGTCGTCTTCCGGTCCCGGGGACAGACGCTGGAAATGAGATCTTTTTCTGGCTATTCCAGTCAGAGCAGCCGGCATATAATGAAAATTTGATCAGTAAGTCTGATCTGGGAAAGGACATGCAAAGGTGGTTGCTAACAAGGTTGAATAGTTTGGTTCAATGGCGGCCCTGGCTGCTCATCCTTGATAGGTTTAACGACCGGTAATGGACCCATTTCATTCGATGGAAATTCAACCCGATTCATTCGCAATCCACACTCGTGGACAAAGCTGGGCAATGTGCTTTACGTGGACCAGCCCGTCGGCACTGGCTTCTCCACGGCCAGTTTCCCCTACCCGGTTAAGAACAATGGCAGGGTGACGACGGACTTTACGCGGTGGCTGCGTGGCTTCTTTGAATATTTCCCGCACCTGCAGTCAAAGCAGATCCATCTGATGGGGGAGTCATATGCAGGCATCTACATACCCTACTTTGCATCGGAGCTTCTCGAGGGCAACAATTCCCTGCCTCTCAACGTGCGTTCGATGTCTCTCGGTGATGGGTCTTGGGGAAATGGAGCAGCCATGGCGACCGTTGGAATGGGAAAATATCTCAGGTCACAGCTGGGCCTCCTTCAAATCCCCGAAAACATCCTATCTGTCTTTGATGAAGCAGATAAAACCTGCGGCTTCAATGACGTGCTAGCGAAATCCGACATATACCCTCCCAAAGCTAAAATCCATATCCCTGGAAACCCAGAGTATTTCAACCTCCGACGTCGAGATCTGACAAATGCTGCCAAAGCTGCATGCGACATCTCACCCACAACCCCCGAAGCAGTCCGCACCTCAATATTCAACTCAACCTGCTACGGCCCCTGCGCCGCCTTCTCTACAGCAAGTGACTACCTAACAGCTGTCTCTACCAACCGCACAACCCGCGGCTGTTTCGACATCTACGACATCTCCCACGACTGCAGCGCCGTTTCAGAGCTCCCACTAATGGCAGATTATTTCAGCCGCGCAGAGGTTCAGACCGCGCTCCACGTCGAGAACAACGGACTCTACAGCGCCTGTAACTCCACAATCCTGGGCACTCTCCTTTCAGTGCCCTCCCCCGTGCCACCGGAGTACTTCATCCTCCCGTCTCTGGTTACTAAGCACAACATCTCGCTCCATATCTACTCGGGTGAGTGGGATATGTTGATCAACCATTTTGGTGCGGAACTGTCGCTGCAGAATATGACGTGGCGCGGTGCGCAGGGCTTCGCGAAGAAGCCAAAAAAGCCATTCTTTGCTGATGATGCTGCGCCGTCGGCAACTAAGCAGCTCCTGCTTGAGCATACGCCGGTGGCTACTACCCTCTCGACTGCCACTCCCACTGCTGCTGTGGCGGGTACGTGGGCTATGGAGCGTGGTGTGTCGTATCATTTATTCCGTGGGGCTGGTCACAGTGTCTTTGTGAATAAGCCACGCGAGATGTTTTCCTTCGTGAGGGATGTGGTTGTTGCCCCGAGGGCTCGTTGATTATGTGTACCTCGGGGATTCGGTTTTTGGAGTTATCGAAATTGGTTGTAACATTTATTTTCTTTAGATTTCTTTTCTATTTTCAAAATTGAGGACCAAGTTAGTATTTGATTGAAAGGGTCATGCCAAGCTCGTAACAAGAACAGTAGTGGAAGGCTTTCGGACGATGTCGACAAAAATGTTGCATCATATATGAGAATCACCAAAAGCAATGTAATCTCTGGGTTCAAGTACGTTTCTTTCGTCATTTGCCTTTTTTTCCCACGTAAAATCAAAAAAATCAATCCGTTTACTTACTTCAATATCGCCCCTCTTGCAGGATATATGTATATATACCACCATTTTGATTCATTATACCAACTATTTTGGGCGAAGTATTTCATTTGACATGCCAGCTACGAAGATTATCTTAATTCCATTTATACCGAATTCAAAAAAAAAAAAGCAAGAGTAATATCGTATTCAATATCCACATCGATTTATTTTCGGAGTATGCTGTATCCCGTTCACGAAGACCAAAAGGTTACTAGATTCCCGTCAGAGTGCAACAAGCACATGAATAATCTTACGATGATAGAAATTGTATGTATGAAGAGCAATGTTTACTAAAGATTACCTAGGATTTGGTCAATAGATGTCGATCGGGGGTCATTACGAGCCAGCATGAGTCATAATGTATCACGATGGAGTCAAAAGCTATACATGTAGAAAACTCGTCTGTACATTTTATTTTTTTCCGCCTTCTCCTGCCATCTACCTATAGGTATAAAACCGAGGAGTGGGAGAAATTACCCAAAAGAAATTTCATGCCTCTGTTTTCTTACTTCATGCAGCTACTGAACCTTGGAAACCATATATGGAGGATATCTTAAGATTACTGTGACCCAATATATGAACATCTGGCAGCTTTGAATTACCACCTAAGGTAGTATATCATGAAGCATCATTTTACTGGTGGAAGCTCTTTGTGGCCACTTGCTTGAAAGACACAACCTACACCTGGGATGGCGTGTTTTCTGTAGGATGAGCTTTTGTAAACATGTGCGCGAGTACTGACATAACATTGAATACATAAGCCCCTAGAACTCGGAAACCTCGCTGTTATCACCATCGGACTCCTCGTCTTCCAGGAGCATCTTTATTCCCGGCTTGTTTCCAACCTTCTGTGCAGCACGTAGCGCCGTACCAAACTCTCCACCTTCGGCATCGACATCCGCACCCCAATCTAGCAGTTTCCTTGCACAGCATCGATGGCACTGAAAACATTCTATCATAAAATCGAGCTTGGACTCCACTCGGCAGCGATCTTTCTCCCATGTCTGCAACATAACTACCATCAGCGGCGTACCAAAACGCCCATTCTGTGCATTAACATCTGCACCAGATGAAAGGAGTAAGTCCACTGACTTCCAGTTCCCAGCTACTGCTGCTCCGTGTAGCGCTGTCCCATACTCGCCTCCTTCGAGGTCGAGAGCTGCGCCATGGGCCACAAAATTCCGAACAGCTTCGCCGTTGTAAAAACTCTTGGTAGCGGCGATATACAACAGAGTTGCACCAGTCTGGGGATCCCTTGTGTTTGGGGATACCCCTTGATCAAACAGATACGCAAGTATATCCTTATTGATGCACGGACCATGTTTCAGAATAGAGCGAGAACAAAGCCCAAGGCGTTCAGCAGGTTCCCAGCTCTGCGACTCAAGAATTAGCCGTATGCAGACGACGCTATTCCTCCGTATAGCTGCTTCGAAGGCTGTTTCAACGACAGATCTGCCGTGTCTAGCGTGTTGGAGTAGGATGGCCACGATGCTGAGATGTTTCTTCTCAGAGGCTATTACCAATGGCTCGAAATCCTGATTTCCATCAAATAATAGCGGTGTTTTGAGACTCAGGAGTGTCTTGATCGTCGGTATACGATCTGTTCGATCACTTTGCCAATTAATTGCAGCTAGAACAGCATCTTTGATATTCTTAGTTGAAGGGACATGCTTGGAACGCATGTAGTTGATCTTTTCAATGTTGCCGTCGGCCGAAGCTTGGACCAAAGCCTCTGGATAGAGTGTAGCATCGTCGAGTATATTGTATCCGGAGTGATCCAATGTTCTCAGGATATCGACTCTGCCGTACTTTGCAATATCCGGGAAAACCTCCCTGGTTTTGCCAGATAAGTCATCTGTATCAGCCCCTGCACAAAGCAAGATCATAAGGACTTCGATCCAGTTTGATGGAGCTCTGTTTTTCTTGATTCCTTTTATGGCTAAGTCCAATGCTAGATTGCCATCCTCGTCAGGAATATCCACGTCAGCTCCGTTTTGCAGCAAAACCTCAACAACGGCGCCTCTGCCTTCTTCTGCTGCCAGCAAAAGGGCGGTGGGCAAGTTTTCGTGAACGAAATGTTCCAAAATTTGCTTCAAAAACTCCGCGTATCCGTTTGCACAGGCGTATCTGAACGCGCCGTCAAAGTGTTCGGCTTTGAACCCTGCGAGAATTGCCTCTTGAACCAGCATTGTTGCAATTTCCTTTTTGCCACGAGCCAGACTTGTCTTCACGGCAGACATAAACGTGTTATGAGATATATAGCTCCATGGGTCGTGTTGAAATAGCCGTCTGGCAGTGGAAGCATGACCGCAAAAACATGCTGCGAAAAGTGGTGTGCTGTCGGAGGCATCCGTTCTCTTACAGGGTAATTTTCCTTTATGATGTGTGTTTGCCCCATTTTCGAGGAGAATAGAAACGGTAGATTCGTGTCCACTACTGGCAGCGAGATGAAGAGCAATTGCAAGAATATCTTCCCGGGGACTTTTGTGCCTGTTGTGCGGGAGAGCTTTATGCAGCATTCCGGCCCGGGGAATTTGGCTAGGCGGTTCTGGTTCTTCACTGGCATCATATTTAAGAAGAGTGGAATTACCATCGATGCTGGCTTCTTGTTGCAGCAGAAAGAGCACCGTCTGCTCGTGTCCGTTGTTTGCAGCGAGGCAGAGCGCTGTTTCAGAATCGGTGTCAGCCTCATCCACCTCTATACCTCGGCGAAGAAGCAGTTTGACTATGTCGAGGTGTCCCTTAGCAGAGGCTGCTTGCAGTGCATTTCCTAGATTCTTTCCAGATGCCCTCACATCCGCATGCTTGCCAAGCAAGAACAGAACAATGTCGATATGCCCTGCATCACAGGCAACCTGAAGTGCATTACCATTTTCACCGCCCGAATCTTCAATGTTTGCTCCTCGATCCAGTAGAAACTTAACGATCTCAAGGTGTCCTCGCTCCGAATAAACCTGGAGGCATGACCCAAACATGCCCCAATGCTTATCGATTTCTGCCCCCCGGGACAGCAGCAGCTCAGCGACATCGAAATGACCTCCCTCCAAAGCCGCTTGTAAGGGAGTCCCGAGAGTTTGTCGCACAACATTGATGTCTGCTCCATGGTATAAGAGAAGTTCCACCACCGGTAGATGTCCCCAGAAACCCGCGATCTGCGATGCAGTGTATGTACATTCCGAGTGGTACCTACCATAGCTAGAATCATCATCCATGGCATCTATGCGAGCCCCCTTGGCTAGTAACATCTTAACCAAAATGGCATTGCCTTTTCGAGCAGCGACCTCAAGCGGCCCCAGCTTTTCCGGTATGTCCAGTCCTCCCGTAGCTGTCCTTGATCCAGGCAGTGTAATCCTCTTAGACCGAGAATGCATGCCGTGCCTTACACCCCTACCCCAACTTATTCGGTTAAGCTTTGCCCCAGCCGCGAAGAGTATCTCGACAATATTCTCATGGCCAGCATACACTGCAGCTTGCAGCGTATCACGATATCGGACCGGCATCTGATGATATTTGCGGTCTAATGCAGCGCCACGCTCAATCAAGAGTCGAACGCACTGCTCATGTCCATTAAAAGAGGCAGCTTGTAGCGTGTTGCCAAAGTGGCCACCGCATCCATCCGCATGTGCTCCATGATCCAGCAGCAACAGCATCATATCGACATTTCCTAAAGAGGCAGCGGCTTGGAGCGGGTCACCGAGCTTCTCGTCTTTGGTGTTAGGGCTGACCCCTTTCTTCAATAGATACCTTGCAATGTCGAGATGATCAGATATAACGGCACTCCGCAAGGGAGAGCCAAAACGTCCGCGAGTGTCAAGGTTGGCGCCAGCATCGACGACAAGTTGTACGAGACCGAGCTTTCGGCTGGCAATAGCGGCGGCGAGGGCATTTCCAAAGTATCCTATCTCTTCATCAATGCGACCATTGCCGTATTCTTGTATTAGGCGTTTTGCTTGTCGTGCTTTGCCCCCAAAGAGAGCAACCTGGAGCGGATCGGGCATAGTGTTTGGTGTGAAAACACCAGCCTTGCCACTCAGAAGTCGTTCCACAATATTGACATTGCCCCTGAAACTTGCAGTATCCATGGCATCGTCAAATTGTTTCTTTTTGGTCAATTTGCATCCCCTATCAATTAACAATTGGGCGACCCCATCATGTCCATTGGCTAAAGCAGCTTGAAGCGGAGTCGAATACTCCCCCTTTCCAGCTAGGGAAGATTCGTCTGGGAAGAAAGAGGCACCTTTATCTAGTAAAAGATTTACAATTTCTTCCTGTCCAGCAAAACATGCTGCCTGCAGTGCACTTCCATATTGAGAGCCGGGGGCATCCACAGCTGCTCCCAGGTCTAGGAGTCTCTGGGTTATCGCGACGTGGCCCCAACGAGCGGACATGTATAGGGCCGAAGTATCATGCTTATTCCTTTGATTCACATCCATCATCCGAGCAAGGTCGGAAGATTCAAGTACTTCTTCAAGGCCAAAGCAAGAAATCATAAACAATGCGGATGGTGGCGAGGCGAATGATGCAGCGAGCTTTCTGTGGAGCATGTTACTCCAACTAGGACCTTCCTCAATCGGTAGTGCATCAAGATCATCTAGCCAATCTTCAAAGTGTTCTTCTTCCGTGAAAAACTCGAGAAGTGCTGGCTTGATCGCTGCTCTTTGAGGTGATCCACTGAGCTGCTCTACATGAGCGGGCCAGTACCAAGTAGCGTAGCTCAAGATGTCAGACTCGCAGTTATCCCCTATGTATAAGCCTAAGCACCTATTGGCAACAGTTGCATTAGACTCGTCGATAGAGAACTCAAGTAAAGTCTCAAGGAATCTGCGCATGACGAGTTAGGTTTTCATCTATTTCACGGCTTGTGGAAAAACATACTCTCGGACTGTCAAGTGAGCTAGACGGAATGTGTCTGATTCGTTGTCTATAATCACCAGGTTGCAGCAGTAGTCGCGGATTGACCGTGCTGATACATGAGATGACGGGCTCGAGGACATGCCCATAGCAGCCACAAATTCGGAAACTGAGAGCTTTCTTTTCGCACACAAGAGCCACTGAAAGCTTTGAATTGCCACCCTTCTCGTGCTTTCACCCATAGACTCTATTCGTTTGTAGATAGCCTCGTATGATTTGCGAAGAGTTGGAGGCAGCGAAGTCAAGACTTGGCGAATACTTTCAATATCCTTGACATGTTCGGTATCGCTGATGCTTTCGAGCTGGAGAGTCACCCAGAGAAACCTAAAATCTTCAGCGTAAAGTTCCTATAGATGAATGCGGCTGTTATCTTTGGCTTTGATCTCCCGACTTACATTCCTTGTGCGCCTGTCATAAGTGCCTCCTTTATGTCCTCCCCAAGCTTCTGCAGCACCGCGATTGACTCGCCATGCATAGTAGACCATCTCTTCACGAATGTTTCGACCTCGACTTCGACGAATTGCTTCAAATCTTCATAATTTGTTTGGGAAGTTACCTCCAAGATATCACCTTTCTTGAATGACACTGCAATATCTTCTTCGTATCGACTTGAAACGAAAATCTTGACAACATCCCGACACCGTTGTCGAATCCCCTCAAGAGCCTGAAGGAGAATCCGTCGCTGCTGAGAGGTGCATTCGTCTAACGCATCAATGACAATTGTAAACGGAGTCGCTCGGCCGATTTCACACATGATTTCAACGCATTCTTCTACCGTCAGCGGTGCCGGTCTTTCTCCGGTATGGCTCGCTTCTGCTTGTCGTGATTTATACGCTTTCAGTAGCGGACTTCGGACGCGAAAAACATTTCCTTCTCTTGTTAGAGAAACCTGCTTTACCAATGATCGGATTATATCTTGGGGGTCGGTTCGTTCCGGCTCTGCAAGGTTCCGAGAACAGAAAAAATGGGCTATTGGCGCTGGTTGAGATGCACCACCACTCTGTTGACGTAGGTGTTGGATTATGACCGCACTAGCAACAATAAATCACACCATTAGGTATGCTTCAGCTCTCGATGCAGGAAACTTACGCAAGTTTTGTCTTTCCGCAGCCCGCTGAATATTCCGTTAGCTCGGAAACTGTAACACTCATGTCCGATATACAGTCCGGGAGTTTCTGTATACTTACGTATGCCATGTAACCAAAAGGTTTCAGAACTACTTGAGTCCCTCCAGGTCACGAAGCGTTGTTCTTGATAGAGCCACTCGCCCGAGCCAAATAGTACAGATGCCAATGCCTCTCTGTAGTGTTGTTGAGCGGGGATAGGGGAAACCCACGTTAGAAGCTCGTTTCTCTCGCTCTCTGGTCATAATTAGCCTTGGAATTTTTCATTTTTCCTGCCTGAGAAATGTACCTTTTAGAGCACCATGAAGGTCAGATACCTGATCCGTAATCCTAACGAGAGGTCTCTCAAGGTCTGTTAGTGTTGCCTCCAGTCTTGCTTGGATATTGTGGACGCCTTCGGCGGTTGAGGTCACCGTTATGAGCATCATCGAAATGCCATCGTGGATGTCTTTCACCCCTAATATAATGTCAGAAAATTGAGCAGCCATTCGTATTCAACCAACGTACTTTCGCTTTCGATGAGTCCCTTCAAAGTCAACACCTTTTGCTCTGCGGCCTCCATTTGCGTCACCGATTCTTGAATGGACGCCCGAGACGTCAAGTTCAACACACGCTCTAATTCTCACAGTCAATATATACATGTCCCACAATCCATCTAATAAATCAACTCACTCATGTGCGAGGAATCATGATGCTTTTTAACCCTGCAAATAAAGTCCAGGACAACGGAATACAATTTCACCATTTCCCGTTCCAAGGTCAATCTTCCTTCGGTAGTACCCTTACCATTCTGGATGAACAGGGCCTCAAGAATGCTACATCGGGCTATCAATCCCGTGGCTTCTCCAATCCCTCGACAATAGCACCGAAAACCTCAAACCCAGAGAAGGTCAACTGCAGCAAGAAACGCACACCGGCCCACGGCAACGCTGCGTGAACAGGGTCATACTGGACCGCGACATCAGCCACTTCCATGAATTTCTTGACGTAGGCGGCAATCTTGGCGCAGACATCACGGATGATGAGCTTTTTCCCTCCGATGCTGATCGTGGTCCATTTATCCCGCGTACAGCGGTCGCGCTGGACTTCGAGTGCCGAGAGAATATCGTTCAGAGTCTGTTTGGTGTCCGGAGATGAGGTGCTAGGTATCTTGAAGATGCGCTGGTCCTTTTCAGGGAGTGTTGCTAGAGCAAGAGCCCATAGTGACGAGGTTTGCGACGTTGTCATCACGGTTCGGTCTGGTCAATATATGTCCAATGGTGTACTTGAGAAAGAGGATGGGCATTTTGTCAAGTAAAAAAGAGAATTATCGCCTTATATATTCACAAGGAAGGGGAAATGCCAGGATTAGGGACGTGGGGCTGTGTAGGTGTAGGCAGGAAGGCTGAGCGAGGAACTAAGGTAATTGAGCCTCACCTTCATATAGAAAGGGTAGAACACTACCTAATCTAGGGCTGAGTCTATTACCATTTTAAATGTGTGTTTGAATACACGAATATCTAATACTAAAGATACATAGTAATAGTATAAATAAATATATAAATATATAGTTATATAAATAGTTTTCATACGTCATAAGGATTTCCCCGCAAAAGGGTAAACGGGCAGGTGAGCAGGTGATTATACGATCAGCCCATCCCTGACTTGATTCGCCTCTTTCTTTCTTTCTTTCTTTCTCTCTTTCTCTCTCTCTCTTCCACTTTGCATCTCACATACATCTTTCACAATGACAAAAGGATTCGCAACCATCACTCCCGAATGCGAGGAAGTATTCGACGAGGTCAAAGGAACAGACAACCTCACCTACGTCATTTACGCTGCTTCCGCACACGACAAGAAGATCACCGTCGCCGAGTCTGGCAAATTCAAGGACTACGACGAGTTCCTCTCTCACTTCAAGGATGACACTCCCCGATATGCCGTCGTAGACTTCACCTACGACTCTCCCGCCGGCGATGGCCAGCGAAGCAAGCTAGTCTTTATCACATGGTATGTCGACACACCTTGTATCACATCACCCTGGCCCTTGAGGGATGGTTTCACGATCGTCGAAAGGTAAATGGTGCTGACTGTTGGGATTGCGTGTAGGGTGCCCGAGGCTGCAGGCATTCACGACAAATCTTACTACACATCAAACAAAGATCACGTCTTCTACGCCCTCCAGGATATCAGTCTTCATGTCATGGCACATTCCCAGGCTGACCTGGCTCATGCTGCAAGTATGTACTCTGTACCCGTGACCCATTGACTTCATGGCTAGTGTGGTTGTACTCGGAACTGACCTTTTTTGTTATCTAGTCCTGGGAAAGTTCAAGGCTCTCTAAAGGAGTCTTTGATCTTCAACCTTCTTCGTGAATCTGAAAACCGCTGTGTGAAGGACTCACAGATCATGGGTGATCTGGCTATGTTGTACCAGACACCATATTTCATATTATAAGATCTTTTACATATTTTCAGTCGCTCACCTCCGCCGCGTACTATGTACTAAATAGTTCTCAACAAGCCGAAAGCTCGAGGGCATATGCATGAGGTAGAAGTTTATGGTGAATAAACATCATTTCATTTGAGACCTAATATAACAAAGACCGAGTGATTCCATAGGATATTAACCCGCTAATGCATAAGAAAAGAGAAGCAAAAGGCGCACCAATGACATGCCTGTGTGGTTGATGGTCAAAAAAGAGTCAATGATATGCACAATAGATGGCTCGTAGCTCAGTTCTTTCAAAAGAGATCAATCCGCTAAATCATGGAAAGAAACAGAATACAAATCGACGATCGGATTGCCAGGACAGAGATGGTATTACAAAGAACCACCAAAGGAACCTTGCTGGCATGCACGATAGATTGCTCATCGTCATAATCATAAGATGCAGACAAAAAAGGAGCATGGAGGCAATCATGACGCATAGAGAAAACGAGTTCTCTGACATAGAGCGTAAAATTATTTCATAGTCGCTTAGCGACGGAAGAATGGGGCTTGGTTCGATGAGAGAAGCGAGTCAGCACGCTGAAAGACATCGCCCTCGAAGAATTTGTCACTGTATGCACTAGCTGGCGTCGACGGGACAGTGGCCTGCGCAGCAGGGCCGAGCGCCGCACTCAGCGGAGTGGCAGGGACAGTGACTGATTGCGGAGGCATCATCATGTTGAGTTGGAAAGAGGGGTTGTTGGTGAGGGCGGATGTTGAGACGGACGTTTGATGGTGTTGCAGGTGTGAGATGTGCAGCGGAGGGCCGTACAAAGCAGTAGGAGCGGGATGGCGGTCCGGGTCTGCAAGGTAGGCCCAAGGAGATACCTCAATCAAGCGGCCTGCTTCCCGGCTTGCCTTTTGGACTGGGCGCAGGAGAATTACGACATCGGAAGGTAGAAGCTGCATACTTTTCAACTCGCGCATCTCGTTCACTAGGTCCACGAACGACTGCATGAATGATTTGCACAGCTGCCAGAATTCGCGTTGATTGCGAAGCCCGCCGCCTGGCTCTTTAATTTTCATGGTCGAGAGACGTTGTCCCAGGGCATCTGAAACTTCCAGGCAGAATTGACATCGACGGATGAGGTTGTTCCAGAGGATTTGGATTCCATCCGAATCTCGTGATTGTTGAGCAGCTTCTGAGCACCTTATAAATTGCCGGCGGGCCAGTGGAAGTGCCCCGTATGCGGCATGATATGTAGCGGTCAGCTGATGGAAGATCTTTTCGAATATTCGCTCCTCTTCGTTTTCGTCCAGCCCAGTCAGTGTATTAACCCGGGGAGCTCCAGAAACAGGCAAAGGGGGGAAGCTTTCGCCTGAGCGAGGGGTTGCCAAAGAGTGTGGCATAGATGTGTTAATCATGTTTGATCTGCTGCTTGAGCGACTGCGTGCGTACGACGTGGACAGCCCAGGGGAGCTGGTGCCAGTCTGATGTGAAGTCATAGTCATAGGATATTGAGGGTGTCGAATTGTCGTGTCGCTCCGCAGTCGTCGTGTGGGTGGGGTGAGATCTCTTGTTGGAGTGACCAGCGAGAGTTGAGATCGGTCTGGGACCGAGGGGAGCGGGTTGCTTGGGCCAATCAAGCGCTTTCCAGCAGAGCCACGTTTGTTGATAGTCTGGAGCGGAACTTTGAGAATAACGCAGGCATTCCGTAGCTCCACCAGGCTGCCAAACATCGTCAGCATCAGCGATCGTACATAGCGCGGATCGCCGTTGGAAACGATCTTAGCGACGTTGTTGCGGAGCTGCGTGCCGACGTGAATGTAGGCGGCAATGCACGTCTCGCATTCACGTCTGACTGTTTCTGTGACTGATGTGACTGACTCTGGGTCATTGAACAAAGTATTTGATGCTTTCTCGAGAGCATCGTTGAGTTGGTCAACGTGCGAGGAAGCATTGTAGAAGACAAGTTCGAGGCTGTGGCGCCTGGTATCATCATGCTTGATCACGTTGATCAATTTATCGATATGGGAATGAACTTGAGCGAGGGCAAACAGAATACCTTTTGCGCTCTTGATTATCGGTTGATCAGATCCACGCTCACCCTTGTGTTCAGGCAGACTAGACATCCGATTAACCCAACCATCCCGCGGACGCCGACGCTCTCTTGGGCTGGTGGGACTAGGAGGAGTACTGTCATTCGTCGGTAGTGGCGCCGCAGGCTGACGCGGTCGAAGCACAGATCCATGACTGAGGCCCCGTAGATGGCTGTTCCGGTATGGGCGTGTTTCGTCCAATGTACCCAGATCGGTATTCTTGCGAGTGATCAGTCCCATTCTTTTGCTACGCGCAACAGATGATCCTTGTATTATGCCTTCGCTATTGCTTCGATTGCGCTCGTTGACAGAATGAGGCGCTACGCCGGGCCTTTGGAGACCAGGCATGTGGTAAGTAGCGCCTTGTTGTCCAGAGGCCATGCGATAATGGGATTTTAATGGGATTGGCGGTGCCCGTGATATCGACGGAGACCGTGATGAGCTTGCTGAGCTATCACCAGTGCTGGGAATTACAGGAAACCGACCACTCAAATTCCGCTTTGAAGGTATCGGTGTTGGTACCGGTTTAGCCTCGAAAGGACCATCACTGCATTGACACCAAGGTTAGCCAATATCAACCTCAAGACCATAAAATGGACAAACCTCGTATCAGCGATGATTTCTGGCTCGGGTGTACTCGTCTGCTGTCGCGTTTTATTAAGAAATCTCTTGAGTTTGGTCGTAGCTGCAACTTCTTTCTCGTTGTCGGTCATCACAGATGGTGTCGTTTCGGTCTCGGTCTCCTCTAGAATGTCACGCAGTGGCTTTCGCAGAGGATTCCCGACACACTTGAAAATTTGAAGCTTATGCATCTCAGAGAGCCCAGCTGGGAGGTCAGTGAGGCGATTTTGCATCATTGACAGAACTCGCAATGATTTCAATTTGCTGATCTCATTTGGCAACTCTTTGATTTTATTTCGGCTTAAATCAAGAATTTCGAGTAATGGTAGTTTGTAAACCTAGCAAGCAGAATTAGCGCAATGCACGCACAAAGCAAATTTATCATGATGCATACTCCTTTTGGGAATTCACGGAAGTTGTTCGCTCTGATGTTGAGATAGCGTAGATGCGAGCACTCTGCGAAACGATATGGGATATGGAAAAGTTGATTGTTCGACAGAGAGAGCCTTTATAGTAATCAGTATAGTTCAGACCAGTGATACCGTAGCCTAAGAACAGGCAACGCAAGACTTGACTATAGAGTTCAAAGCAAGGCTCCGACGTACCGTTCGACCTCATCTTTAATCAAGTCAACGACTGGTTCGGGGATCCTGGCAATGTATGAATGACCAAGATCAATGGTCAACTTGGGCTTGACCACATCTGTGACGGCCTCGCTGCCTGCTAAGGAACGCTTAGTATCTTGAATCCCACTTTCCACAGCATGTCGTGCTAGCTCGATGGTTTCCTCGGGGCTAAGTGTTTTCGTCCCAGGCGGTTGCTTGCTGATGGTCTCCGGGGCATCTCCTAGAGCAGTGTTCGGTCGACTTCCCTCGGCAGGGTACGGAGAGTCGTCGCCTTGCGATGCCAGGAAGCCACCTGACTCCGGCGTTCCATTTTCCATTTCATCTTCATCTGTCTCGCCGCGGTTCAAGCGCAGCCCACGTACTGCATCCTCGGAACGAGTCGTTGAGGATGTCATGGCTGATAAAAGCCCGGAGGTTGTCGATCAGGCGCACAGCAAGGCAGCACTTTCGTTGGTGAATTGATATACTGC